TTTCGACAACATCAACATCGTGGGTCCATTGTTTGTAACAAAGTGTGGCAAAGTTTCCTCCATCTTACCAGTGCTTGCATCTCCCTGCTCATTTGCCAGTGACAATCCACCAGATGATGCATCATCTGACTCTAGGGCTGTTGCTCAAACTACACATTGTACTTCTGCATTAGGACACAAAGAGTATATAAGTGGATTGAGAGAGAGAGAGAGCTGCCTCTGTGTCTCTTAAACTCAAACCAGACTCTGATCAAACCGTAAAACTAGGCAACACTGTGCTCCCTAATAGGAGCAGTGCTACTAGTAGTAATGGAGTACAAATAAAAATGGGTTGAGTTTGGTAGCAGTACAAGCAATACTAATTTTGGTCCAGAACAGTGCCACTGGAGAGCAGTACCAAAATATGTAACATAATGATTCTTTGTCATCGTAGCACAGTATTGATGTAGGAAGCATTTGTTTTGTGGCTCAGCAGCAATTTAAAGTGAAACACTCACATATGGGAGTCTTAGTTTTTTCATATATTGTTTTATTTAATCCATGTCAGGGGTATGTAGAAATTTTGTTTATATTTATCCTGAATTTAGTTTGGCCTTTCCAACATACCATTCCACTTTATTCATCTGAAAAAATATATACATAACATACATAGCGATACTAATACTAGAAATAATATTTGACATGTCCTCTGTAGTTGTAGTTGCAGGAGGAGTTGAAGTAGTAGTTGCAGTAAAGTTTACACAGGGGGCAATTTTTCAGTAGAAGTTAAAGGCATCCTGTGGGACTTTTTGAAGAATGTCACCAGCATTTTTGCCAACAGGAGGCCAGAATAAATAGCAGGGTTTTCCCGACTATCAGAAGACTTGGGTGCAGCACTTCTTGTTTTTTTTTCTCTCCAGTCAAGCCTATTTACATAAGTATGAAGATAAATAAAACAACACTTTAAAGACGACACAGTGTAGCTCACCGGTAGCCTGCGGCTACACTTTTGGAGTGGAAGGCGCACAGTCCTGAAAGTCATTAGCTTGCCGACGCCTTGCAATGACCCAAAAGTCCTTTGTTTGGGGTTTTACCCTCCAACAACTTCGTCAACTCTGTAAATCCACCACCGAACTGCTCGGCTCCCAGGCCGTCCACTCCCAGGAGCTGATTGCAGAAGACTGGCCGGATTATGGAGGTAACTGCCTGTTCCCGGAGCCTCAGTAAGCTTGTCTGTTAAATGCAAAAGACATCACAAATTTTGTCTCAACCTAAGTTTTTTTGGGCTATACCTATAAAGGTACTATAATTTAATACACTGTATACTCTCTTGTAAAATGTAAAATTTGTTTTGTTTTTTTCATATTTCAATTTCAGTGTTTGAATATACTTAAGATTAAAAATTCTTTGCTCTCTGACAGGGTGTACATGCATTATTATGCTATTATATTATCATTTTATCAGTGGCATAAAGCCGTCTCAAAATGAGAATAATTATGTCTTTTGCAATTATTTTTTGGACAATACTGTGTAAAGTCCAACAAAAGTAGTTATTGTGTTATCATGTATGCTCATAAGCATGCAGGTGATGTAGTTCCTGCTGATGGTTACATGCTTTTTGACCTGTTAACAATAGGTGACAGTATTTTGCCAAGAGATGTAGCATTGGCTAAGGGCCAAAGAAGAATAATGCTAACTAGCAAATATGGATGTAAACAATGCAGGTTTCAGTCAGAGTAAACAAACAACTTTGCATTTGAGGAAGGAAATGCACTGAACATGTTTGTTAGGCTTCAAGGATACACACAGTGTTGTTTTGTGAGAAACAAAGAAGGTAAACAGAACAGTTTACTTACAAGAAAACTGCACCTTTAATTCTAAGAGGGTTTTCATTGCAGAGGAACAATAGCTTGATTGTGTTCAGCTGTCATCAACAGATACAATCAGAGTGCATTAACTTGTGTGACTCGCTGGTGGTTCAGTCCAAAGTCATCTGCCAGGGTGCTTGCCACTCGTGTTTTGAAGACACTTTTGTGTTGCACTACTTGATTCATTGATTCATCATACACACACACGCACACACACACATACACATGCATATACATCACTGAGGTTTGGAGCCTTGGACCCTGGCAGACAGGTGGCTTTGTTCAGAAACACAGTATGCCGGCTGGGAGAGCTGGGTGAAGTGGAGGGGGGGCTCTAATCATTATTATGCTTTCCGCAGAACGGTGGCGCTCCGCATTTTTTTGCCGTGTTCCCGAGTTGGTCGGCACATTCCGCTGGCATTGTTATCCGGCCTGTTTCCTGCGGCCGGCGGCTTTTGTCAGCCTCTCCCCCATTGTCCCGGCTTCCTTTGTTCCCCGGCTCCAACAATGGCTTTTTTTCTGCCTCTTAATATATATGTGCACTTTTTGCCCTTGTGTGTTCTGTTTGTTTTGTTCTGCTGTCTGCTGTGTTTTTCTTTCCTCCCGCTGCAGAGCTGGGAAATAACACACATACACACAAACATACACGCACCAGCCCGAGTTGATATGTTCAAGTTCACTGTGGTTCAAAGCTCTCTCACTCAACCTGTCCTGTCTTCCTTTCTCTCCCTTTCTCCCTCACTGAGGCGTTGTCTGTCTCCCTCCCCTATAGCCTCCTATTATTCACTGTCACACACACGCACACACGCACACACGCACACTTAGACAATAAGCCTAGCTGTGACTTTAGGTGGTGGTACCACAACCAGTACCTAACCCTTGACCTTGACTTCAGCAGTGACCCAGAACAGCGGTTCCCAATCAATCGATGTCATGAAACAGACCCTGAGAGACACATCACACACCAGGGGCCCCATGTGAAGAGGCTTTGGGCCATATTTTAACAACCGTATCTGCATCACCTTGGCATGATGGAAGGACAATGACAGTGAAACCCATCACTGGAATAACTAGTTTTATACATTCTGAAATGCAGCACAAATTTACAGAAAGTGAGAAAGAGAACCAGGCCTGTATTTGAAACAAGCTTATATTAAAGATATGTCTTTATTTTTAATTCATACTGTTTTATACATATATTTTATCTTGTTTTAATAAGAACAAAGTGGCCTTTATTTTTACTTATACTTTTTACTTATAAATGTAGCATAATGTACATTTCCACAATATTAAATCCATATTAAATCCATTATTACATGAATAGAGTCAAGTAACACTCAGAACTCTGCTGCTTTCTGTTTTCTTTTCAACTCACTTATTAATTCCAGTCATCTAAGTTCAATCACTGTAAAGCTACCACCAATGAAACTTGATAATGACATCTGTCCTAGGCTTTTAATGTGACACACCTGCAAGAGGTGTTAAAAGAGGAGCAAAGCTGAGTTTGGAACTATTTACTGAGTCAATAGAATCATTCTTGTTGTTGACAATTGTGTTTGAAAATGCAACTCAGCTGATGGGATTTGTGGTGGCCCAGCACAGTCATATAAATATGTGAAATGGACACAACCTCTCAATGAAGCATTACATGGCGGGCATAAAATGTGTTAAAATGACATGTTGGCAACAAGAAAACAATCCCATTGCAAAGTCTATTAGGAACAGTCACAGTTTTGTTGTGAAATGGTTGCAGTTTGGTGAGGTTTAGGGAAAGAAAAACACTTGGTTAGGTTTAGAAAACAGTAATATACTTGGTGAGGTTTAGCTAAAGATTGTGGTTTCGATTAAAATAACTACAAATGGGTAGTGTCATAAACATACATACTTCGAAAAGTTATGTAAAGTACCTACTTAAAGTACTTTGCATAGTTACATAAAAGCCGTTAAGTGACGTAAATAGGCTAACTTGTGGTTTCACACCAACAGCAGTCTCCTGGTTGAAAGTCCATGTTTGTTTTACCCCATCCACCACCTGTCCCACCCACTGTGCGTGGACTTTCTCTCTTCATGCTTACTTTTTTGTGTCCACCATGATAAAAGATGCTCATTGACTTTGCATTGGAATTGTTTTTGTGTTACTAGCAAGTCATTTTAACACATTTGTGCCCGAAATTTGAGAATTTACAGTATTCATTTCGCTGAAGACCTTTCGGAAGCCTCCTGAAGGACCAGATGATGACATGCATAACTACCATACAGCATTTGTTTAGTGCAGTCTTTAGCCATGCTAGCACCTTTGCTCCAGGGATGGTAGTGTTGGTCTGTCAGCTCTCCTCTTTGTACCAGACTGAAATATAAACAACCATTCATGGGTTATGATGGAATTTTGTACAGACATTCTTAGTCCCCTGAAGATGAAGCTTACTGACTTTGGTGATCCTCTGACCTCTCCTCTAACGTTGCCATGAGGTTTCACTTTTGTAGTCCAGAGTGAAATATCATGGCAGCTATTGGATGGATTGCCATGAAATTTGCAACAGATATAGGTTACATTCTTATGACTTTGGTGATCCTCTGAATTTTCCTCTAGCACCACCAGGAAAGTTTTCACTCACTCAGTGAAATATCTCAACATCTACTCAATTAATGAACTTTGGTTGACATTCATTGTCCACAGAGGACATATTGTAATAACTTTAATCTGTTGTTGTTTCATCTAGCACCATTATAATGACAAAAGGTTCGTCCAATAAGTTAAAGACCAAATACCTGCAAAATGAATGGCATCCCCTTAAGATTCAGCTGTACTGTGTGTTCAGTGCTAATTAGCAAATGTTAGCATAGCTGTAAAATATTAGTCTTGTTCTCTGAGTCAGGTAGCTCCCAAAGCTGTTTTAACTTGTTCATAATGCAGTTTCTCATTTCTAACAAGTAGGTAGAGGTGAAACAGACATATTCAGAGATGAACACACGCAGGAATGACCCAGCATTATCATTTTGTCAGTGTTATAAACTATTAAATCAATAGTGCTTGAACTCTGCTCTTTGCTGTAATTATATCTAATATCAAATTAAAATTGACATGGCAAGTGGCCAAGCCTCACCACACCCAAATGACACTTAGTTTTGTGTGATGTGTTTGTCTTTCAACAGGATGGTTGAGCCCAGCCCTCCAGCACTGCACCTCCTCTCAGGCGGTGATGTCAGCATGGCGTGTATTGGTGTCAAAGTAGAACAGGAGGAGTCAGGTGGTGGGGGTGGAGTCATTACATGCACTGAACCTCTTAAGACATCTCCCACACGTGATTGGTCAGGAAATCATCCACTGGAGGCCCGCCAATTGACCCCACCACTCTCCCGCTCCCCTTCGGTGAGAACATTAAGAAGGGCGTGACAGACTGAGAAAGGTTGATGATAGGCATTTTAGGAAATGTAGGAAGTGTCACAGATTGATAAGTCAAAGTAAAATATGTACTCTTCCTCATCCTGCTCTGATGCTTTGTCAGTTGACGGATTATTTCTGTGCCCTGACAGGAGGGCTCTCCAGGTAAGGAGCTGCCTCTCAGGCAAAGCCCCGTGGGACTGAAGGAGGCCAGGACACATGATAGACCAGAAGGACAATCCAACTTTAAGGAAGGTCTGTTGAAACTCTTAATAACTTGCGCTTTGGTGCAATATAAAACTGAAAATATCCCCTGATTGTGAAGTTGAAGGCATACCTCTTTTATTATTTAGAAGAAGCCATGACAGACTGTGTGTGTTAATTAGGTTTCAAGCCCCAAAGGGGACCACAAAAGTTCTCTATCAGCACCAAATTTGGTTTACAGCCTTGTGGGACTTAAGTACACATCCATATTATGAATGTGCAAGGTCAGTCAAAAAACATGGCCAATCATGGTCAATCAAAAAGTCTTCGCAAAGGGTGAGGCTTTACAGGAAATTGTCCGTTAACGATTTGACCAGTCATCCTAAATCTTGGTGGATAGTTTTAGTTCAAGTTAAGGAATAGGCGTACCAAAGCCTTTTGAGCCCAGCCTATAGGGGGCACTACAAATACCACATATACATAATACATGCACCTCAATTACAGATGGACAGAGTGTCACTGAATTTGGTACACATGCTCTTGGGGCGAGTATTAACCAAGATCTGAAATGTCATAATGATTAGGGCATATGTACCTGGCTTACTTAGAATTCTATGCTAGATTATGCCTTTGCTCAATTTCTTGGGAGTTGGATCGAGCTAGAGATACGAATCTTGGCACCATAACTATGAATCATGCCCTATTGCTTCACATTAAATTTGATCCTGATCGGCCTGATGGTGGCGCTGTAATTAAGAACTGAAAAAGTGAATCTTTGACAGGCCACGCCCTTCACATCATGAGTGTAATTGACTGGAAGTTTGAAAAACATCTGCATCTCAATATGCTCTACAAAAAAGACTCTTGGACAGTTAAGGCCACCATGATAGATTATTGCTACTTTGCATAATGTGAAAAACAGTAATGCAACATCTGCTTTTTGGATTTTGACTGTATCACTGCTAAATTTAGTATACAGCATTGCAAGACAGAGCTACACAGTTCTATTACAGATAAGCAAGACTGGTCAAAAAACATGGCCGTCATCAATCAGAAGTCGTTGCAGAGGGCTGAGCAACTGTACTTCTGCACTGTATTTTTCTGTGACCTGTTTTTAATATTTTGACAAAACATTCTTAACCAAAGGGTTTTGCTAGCATTTTCCAGAGCTGTGTCGAGCATCCATCAGTGACCATTTCCAGAGTGGAAAAACTATTTTTGTCTACCCTATTAATTTATGATTAATTATATGTTATTATAATAAGTGTTTTAAATACTAAATAATAATTATGATTTACCACAACTTAAGTTTTATTAGTTTTGTTTTTAGACACAATAGCAGCGTGGCTCTAGGGATGGACAGTGACAAGACTCTGATAAACTCAATTGCACAACTCAGAAAAAGGTCAAAGTCAAGTTTATTAAACAATGGGCAAAATCGTGGTCAGGCAGAATCAAGGTCAAAAATCCAGATAGGCAAAATCAGGCAGGGGTACAAAAGGGAAAGGCTAAGGCAGGTCCGAAAAAACACTAACAAGATCAAAAAACCGAGGATCAAAACATTGTCAAGAAATGCTGGTTGACTTGACAATACGAACAAGACGAACTGGCACAGGACAACACCTCCCAGCCAGACAGTGCACCATGCCACACCACAAAAACTTGTTCAGGGATGGCACAAGGAACGAGACAAAGAGCTCAAAGTTTCAAATTCCCCAGATCCCAATCTGGCCGAGCATCCATGTGACGTGCTGGCACCTCAAGAGTACCTCCAATCCACGGTGGGGCCTCCTCGGATTGGACTTGGTGCTGACCTGTCAAAGCATGCACACAGGACCTTTGGGGGGTGTCCTGTGGTGTCTGGCACCAGGGTGTTGGTGGGGGATCTTTTGAGTCCTGTGAGTTGTGAGGTGGGGTACCAGCATGTCCCATGGATCTTTGATCAGATTGGTATCCAGGGAAACTGGAGTCCAGGTCGATGCCTTGAGCTTTTTGTCATGATCCCTGGGCCATTCCTGAGCATTTTCTTGTGGTTTGGCATGGTGCTTCTTCCTGCAGGGGGTCAGTGCCATCAGGGAGCTCATTGCCATGAATGGGGAAAGTTCGTCTGCAACAGTGTTTGGGTGGGTGGTGCATGTCAAGTGGCATCTACATGAATGCCAGGACCCAAGGTTTCTCAGCAAAAGTTGGATATTTTCCAGCTCTACACATAGTGTCTTTAATATTCAATATGCAAACACTATTCAAATCAATGAGAACTGTAGCTGATACACTTTAATGTTTTAGAACAGTTTGTTTCTACAGCACTGAGCATGAGTGGTTTTCAATCTCCATATTGGATTTAAAACATTGGTATCAGTGTACCTCCACAGTCTGTCTCCTGTCTGCCCCTCAGTTTTATTTACTTCTATGGGAGTCTTTCTCTATTACTCAGATATACCCACGTCCATACAATTTTCTAACCGACCAGACTTTGACGACTCCATATTTTATGTGTTTAAGTGCACTACATTCTGCTGCTATTCAGCATTAAACAATGCAGTCTGCTGAAAATCGATGCGTAGAAGTGACAGTTTCTCTAGCAAAGCGAGGGTGTTGTTTTGGTTCCTGAATGGGTTCGGGGGGAACGGGGTGCTTTTTTTTTTGTCTGATTTTGTTCAATCCCTCACATGTGGAGTAAAAGGCTGCTCTCTGAGCCGCTCCCGAGACTCTCCCTGCCCTCGAGTCTTTCACTAGTCTGCACTCCTCGCCTTAAATTTTTCTCAAATTCTCTCCACTAGCTGACCTTGGATTGTTCTCTGTCCAAATATCGATCCACTCAAACACTCAAAACTTCTCCCAGAGGCACAAACAACCTCTGCCCTACGGCACCTCAAATGTCTTCTTCAATCAATGCCATTAGGAAGGCAGAAGAGTGGCTGAGAAAGTAGTTTGGTGTCAGATGGATTTTATTTGACAGAATATATTTTTCACACCATCTAGTGCAGCCCATCGCGGCTCAGCTGAGTACCTGTTGTGTCCTGTTAACAGTAATGCCTACCATTGAGAAGCTGCTGAATGCTGACTGGAAGGAGAAACTTCTGGATAAAAGCACAGTGGGGGCAGGACAACTGAAAGGTCAGCTTTCAAACACTACCAACACATTTATACCATTTATATACCACTTACAAATCATTATTTCAAATGCATTACTATTTAACTGTGCAAATATCTCTTGTATTTTTTCATTTGCCATAATCCCCATCTGCTTTGTTAACTGAAAAATGTTATATAACACTGATTTGGCACACCGCTGTTTGGATCATTTTGCTATCAAAATTGTGGGTTTCATCTTGTGTTCCTTTTTAAAATCAGGGTAAATTGAGACAGAATGACACATCTGGAGAGACAGAGCCAGGAGGAAAGACTTGACTTACCAGATTAAATTTATATTAATACCTGATGTTCGCAAACTGATGTTCAGAGGTATTCAGCCTTGATTATGTCTTGCAGACCTTATATGTGGTTTTGTTGTTATCTCAGTATTTATTTATCTCTAATACTTCAGTCTGTTTAGATGTTGTCCTTGCAAGTGATAAAAAATACATCAGTAATGTAATAAAGATAGTTTCCTCTTGTTAAAATCAGCAAGCAGCTAAATAGTCCTGTCGTTGTCCTTGTTGTTGTTGTTGTTGTTGTTGTTGTTGTTGTTGTGCTGAATAAAATCAAGGAGAAATGATTCAACCCAGAAAACCTTGTGTGCCATGTCTTTAAGAAAAAAAAAGAGATAGGAATTTGTAATCAGTTTACAGCACTGCAGAGATAGAGTAAACCTGAGGAAAATGTCTGTTTAGCTACTGGATGTGTTCATCAGCTAGTCTCTGACTGTCTGACAGCTGTTTGCTGCTGAGCAGGTAGTGTACAGTAGGTTTTTAGAGCTTTCTCAGTGAAAACAGCTGCCTGCTGTTGGCGAAAACAATGTTATGAGAGTGGTGAGAGAATGAAACAGTAAAGTTGTGGATAGGACAGCTTAACAATGAGCTGAAACTCACTATAAAGCTCTGTAAAGCCGAGAGGAGCTGGAGATGCAGCTCATAATTCTCTGCAGATTCATCACTCGAGTGATCCCTTTCACATCGTCACATTGTCATTTGATATATTGTTGTATGGATGGTAGCCGCTTTGAAATTGTGCTTTAAAATTGTGATTTGTTACACTGCTTTAGAGTTTGGCTCAAGTTGCATATTTCTGTCTGAACCCGACCTGAGCCTAAGAGAGTAGCAACAGAGCCCAATTAACCTGAACCCGACACAGTTAATGTAGGCTACTGAAGCACTGAGTTTTGTCCTAATCTCACTGTTGCTGTTACCATGGTAACATGCTTGCTTGTATACTGTGATTACACATGGCACCTTGGGACTGTCAAAATGCACACATTATGCAAAGTCATCAGCAGTTGTAAATAATAGAATTTGAGTCATATGATTGGCCCATGTCAAGAGTTAGCTAAGCTATTAAACATAGTTTAACCATCATGGAGGAACAGGAGCTGTTCTAGCTGCTGCTAGAATGGCCAGAATGCCCCCAGCAAGCACACTGAGCTTCGGGTAATGTTACTGTAGGTGATGACACATTTTGTTTGACGTTCTCCATCATTAGCTAGCTAATGTTAACTTACATGAATGTTTACCACCTAAAATAGCCCATGTGTTGTGCTCAAGTGTTGTCTTGTAAATAGCAAACCCCAATATTGAACAAGAAATAGCCCAATGCTGACAGTAGGTCCATCATTTTGGGCCAAGCCAAACCTGACCTGTACCCGAACGTTATTTGTAAATATTTGTCAGAACCTGCCCGAACCAATAGGCTCCAGTCGGTGTCTACACTCTACACTGCTCACAAATTGTAAAAATATTCAGACACTCTTTACCACCTTACACTGATCATGATACAGGTTGTCAGGAATGTAAGTGCTCAACCGGTTTTCTGAGTAACCTGACCATCTGACCCCTTCCAGGTACCCCAGAGGCTCTGGCAGAGAAGGAGCTGCAGTTGTTGATGATGATCAACCAGCTGAGCGGTCTGAGGGAGCAACTACTGGGAGCCCACTCTGAGCAGAGGAACATGGCCGCCCTGCTGCTGGAGAAACAGCAGCAGCAGATGGAGCTGGCTCGACAACAGCAGGAACAGGTACCACTCAGAGGTGTACAATCACAGAACTAGAGAATCCATCCATCAAAACTTCAGAACAGTTTTCTGTGTGTTGTCTTGATGAAATCTAGAATGAACCTTTCTGACCCAACAGACCCAGAAACTAAGAAATCCCAGGGAACAAAGAGTCTAGAGTCCCTTCTGTTCTGTCTTGTTTGTGTTTTGACTGCATATGAAGAAGCACGAAGAATAGGCAAATTAGGCAGATGAAATTTAAAGCGATCTTTGTTTGAGATGTCATTTTTTGAACACGACGAGACAACAGCAGGGAGTCATTGTGTTGTTCTTTGTAATTCACTGCTGCACGACTGTGTGGTGCTTGAATGGGTGTAAGAAAAGTGCAGTGGTAGAGCGGGAGGCAGAAAAGGCAAGAAAGGCAAGACACCTGTTGGTGAAATAGAGAGTAAATCTCTTAATTTTAGTTTAGGCTTATTTTATAACTATACAAGTGAGTTTTTTGTGTCTGTCACTTCCACACCTCCTTATCTCACGACGAAATGGAAAATCAACATAAAAATAATAGTGATAATAAAGTCAGTAACACAAGTAGCCTCCACCATTAAAGCATTGCACTTGCGCAACATTGTCAAACTTATGCTGGAGACTTTAAAACATAAAGGATCAAAATCGGTGCAGCAGAGCCAGAGATATCGTCTTTTTTAATTCCACATACAGTTCCGCCTACATTACCCACAATGCATCTCAGCGACTGACGGTTCAGTTGGAGATTCACGTCTGCTAGTTGCAGCTAATGTAGCCACATGCCGCTAGCCTTAAGCAGAGATAAGCAGCAGGCTACAGAGGTCTGATAAGCTCATGTCTTTCTAATTCTGCACCTCCAGGTTTTTTTATTCATTTTTAAAGTTGTAGTCTTCAGACCTGACAAGCGCTGATTTTACGCTGCTTTACACAACCTTTTCATAAACACAAGCTTCTCTATTCCACTATAACCAGTCCACTTAGTCTCTCTACCCCACTGCGCTCCTCAAGGTTTTCCAACATGTTGAGCTAAATGCAGTCACATCAGGGATTAGAGAGTCCTCTCCCAGCTCACTGAAGAAAAAAGTCTCTCAGTAAAAGCAAAAGTCACTGCTGGTGGATCCATTGTGAGCATTTTAGCATGTTAGCCTGAGTCTGGTGTCTTAAATATGCCAAAGTACAATGATGTTAACCATAACCCATAAGAATGTGATCCGTAATTTGATGGCATTGTTGTCCATTTGCATTGTTAACTAAATGTTAAACCTGGCTGTTCCACATCCTTCCCACCCTCTGATTGTGAGCGTTACCATTTACAACATGTATCTCTTCCAAAATGTTTCTATCAGTAAAATTATCGATTCAAAAAAGTACAAATACCCATAACATGTTTTGGGTATTTGTCTGACAATCACTCTTTTAAAATCAATGTAGTTTTTGACAATTAGTTGAATTTTGTTTAAGTACAGTGGTGGAAAAAAGTTTTCGGACATCCCATGCATTTGTGAAATATTGCATTAAGAATCACTCTTAGGTCTTCAAGTGCAATTTCTTTTAGTACAGTCACAGCCAAAATACTAAATAAATCCTAAAAAAGCCATTAAAAACTTAAAATTGATTGGTTCCATAAAAATACATAAGAAATTTTGAGTATTGGATCATTTTGGTACCAGTGATGAAGGTTGTTCTCTTTATTAAAAAACACAATTTTTGTTGCCAAGCTTCGTGTCTACATAAAGCCAGCACATTTGAAAGTTCTTCAGACACAAAAATGGCTAAAACAAGGAACCCAACGCAGGAAACACGCCTGAAGATAAAGATTCTCAGCCAGGAAGGGTACAGCTGCTGCCAGATAGCCAGGAAGTGCAGATGCAGTCCTCAGCAGTTGGATGCACTCTGCAGAAATACAGACGAACCAACAGCTTGGAAGCCAAACCAAGATCTGGGCGTCCAAGGGTTTCTTCAGCAAGAAATGGCCGCATCCTGATCCACATGTGCAGGCAAAACCGCCAAATGACATCACAGGAGCTTCAGCAGCAGTGGTCAAACCAAACTGGTGTCCAGTGTTCCACCCGCACTGTACGTGGCCGACTTTTAGATCATGGCTTAAGGTCCTACAAGGCTATCAAGAAGCCCCTGATCAATGAGAGACAGAGGTTAGCCCGGCGTCGTTGGGCCCAGGCACACAAGAACTGGACAGCCAGGAATTGGAAGAAGATTTTGTGGTCAGATGAGTCCAGTTTCCAGCTTTATCTTCCTCCTACTAATGTGAGGGTACGCAGAAGGCCAGGCGAAGCATTATCTCCAGCATGTACAGTACCTACTGTCAAGCATGGTGGAGGCAGTATCATGGTTTGGGGATGCATGAGTGCTGCTGGTGTTGGTCATCTCACTGTCTGTGATGGCACATTGAACTCTACCAAGTATTGTACCATTCTCGAAACCCACATGCTCCCTTCTGCGCGTGCACTGTTCCGTCGAGGTAAAAACTGGATGTTTCAACAAGATAATGCCCCTTGCCACACATCCAAGGCCAGTAGAACTTGGCTGCAGGAGCACAGTATCCAGGTCTTAGAGTGGCCAGCTCAATCCCCGGACATGAGCCCCATTGAAAATCTGTGGTGGATTATCAAAAGGTCTGTTTCAAAGCATAAACCAAAGAATTTAGAAGAATTAAAAGCAGTAATTCAAGAAGAATGGGACAAGATTACCCCTCAACAGTGTGAAAGGCTCGTGGGGAACATGCCAGCCAGGATTAGAGCTCTACTACGTGCCAATGGCAGGACTACTAAATATTAATTTGATGATGTGATGGTTTATTTATTTTTTGTTCAGTTTTGAACACATTCTCTGTTATTTGTTGACTTTGATACCGACAATGTTGAGAACTGACATATTGAAACTGTCAAGAATTTAGTTTTGTTAGTTTTTCTTGTAAACAATAAACAAAAAAATATAATTTGTATTTGTTTGTATCTGTCTAATGCAGCCACACCTTTTGAAACACAAAAAAGATTTTTCCACAAATATTTCATGATAATATTTGAGATTGTGTAAAATTTTAAGGGTGTCCGAAAACTTTTTTCCACCACTGTATATCATTGGGATACAGAAGAAGATTCATTCTGCAATGAACTGCATTGGGTGGGTGTTGGGTTTGAATGAAGCCCTGATCATGGTCACCTACACTGTGTGCCCTTGTGTCTGTTTGCCACATACAAACGTGATGCTTGTGACAATGAACTTGTCTTGTGTCTCAGATCGCCAAGCAACAGCAGCAGCTGATCCAGCAGCAGCACAAGATCAACCTGCTTCAGCAGCAGATCCAGGTCAGCTCCCCTCATGACCTTCACATGTCATCACATACCACAGCCAGCAGCACTAGCATGGGATCATTGTTACTACGACAAGTTCTCATTGCAGATCACAAATCTGTGTTTTAGACAAATAAGGTAAGACATTTTGTGTAAGGTATGTTTGTCCTGCCTTGTCCCAGCAGGTGAATATGCCCTACGTGATGATCCCTGCGTTCCACCCCAACACCCAGCCCCTCTCGGTCACCTCTGACCCCCAGATGACCCTACCACTGCAACCAATCCCCTGCAAGCCAGGTCAGTTATTAAGCTAGCAGAGAGGTTCTAGCCCTGGGAAGTGTTGGGTTGGGACACACTGGCTCCCATGAAACCATAAAACTGTTGTTGGAATGGCAAAATAGAAAAAATTAATACAATTAAATAAATGTAAATGTAAGTTTACATTTATTACGGAAATATTTGAAAGTTGTTAAGAGGAGATCAGAGTAATTTTTAAATATTGCATTTACATGTTTTATATTTTATACAGTGTAGGTGGCACTTTTACCAGCACAGCATAATCGCTTCGCTTCCGATTAGAAGTCGACTGATAGTCAATTTTTAAAGGTTGACATAATGATGATAGTTTGGAACAGGAAAAAGCCAATGGCCGATAAGTTGCCCAATATCATCCCCCACCCCCTTACACACACTATTTGACTTTATTAGAAAACTGGAGAACTGTTGAACTGAACATCTCTGTTCAAGTAATATATACCTGAAATGGATATATAAATCTGGATCACTGAATATTAAATGCATAATGAACAAATAAATTATCAGACTAATCATAAAAAAATCTACATAGGTGTGTTGTTTTCTTTGCAGCTATTGATTTTCCTCAAAGTCAAACTTCAAGCTTTCATACAAAACTGTGATCAGAGATGGGCAGTACTTCTGTTACTTGTATTTGAAATACCAAAACAATATTCAGTTACTTTTGATCATTTTGTAATTGACATTTGACAGGGGTGAAAAAATAATCACATTTAATTTGAAGCAAGATATTTTAGAGTCAAGAAATTTTGTGTTTTCACAATACTCAAAAGATTCTCTCAATGATTCATTAAAACTGGGGTACTAGCTTCAGGCCCTTACTCAAGTGCACTGTGCTCCCATCCTTGCACCTTTGTCCAAACTGCTGCACTATGAAACACAACTGGTAGTTTAGAGGAACAGTTTCCTATGGCTTCACAAAAAATCAATTGTTTTGCTTGTCTCCTTGGGTGCTCCACACTGCTAATATTAGTCTCTGGATGATGGTTGATGAAGTACTGTCAGACACTACACCTTCATCTAACAAAGCTAAATCCAAAATTCTCTCCAGTGCTTGTCTTCCCCGAATATGAACTTAAGTAGCTCTGTACTCTGTGCTGCACTGTGCCATTGAAGTTGAGCTACCCCTTTTTCATTGCATCAACATAACTTTATTAACAACCTTAGAATATCTATTCAGAATCACGGAAGAGAGGAATTGATAGAATTCATAATGGGCTTATAAATGTTCTCTACTACTGTATTCTATGTGCTGTAGTCTCTTGAATTATCATTGTGATCTTTTGATAATCCATCAAGGTTTTCCTCCACCAGGTCTTTAGTGCAGGGAAGGTTGGGGTTTTGTCAGTTCTTTCATAGCCTATTCATGCATTCTCTGTTATTAAAAGTAGAATGGACACTGACAATAACTGTGCTTTCAAGGTCTGAAACTTAGTGCTGAAAAGTTGTCAGCTCCATGAGTTGCCATCCGCGCTGCAACGTCTTCTCAATCAAGTGTTTTTGAAGAGAGACTTAAGCATGTTTAAGCTCTTCAACTCAAGGTCTACTTTAAAGTAAATGGAAAGGCATCAGTGAGCTACAAATGTGGACTTCAGTTGAACAATATGGTTGATAGTAGCTTTCACACACTTATGCTTGTACAGTTTGCCGGCTATAGAGGGTACAGCTCGAAAGCCGCAGCTTTGTGCAGTTTTGCTTTCACGAGTCTTAAAAGCTGTGATCATGGGTGACCTTGTCTTCTCTATCTTTTCAAACCTAAAAGACACAAGGCCAGTCTTTAAAACATTGTAGGCGGAATTTAAGGATAACCATTCATTTGCTTTATTTTATTTCAACAAATGTGTATGTGTGTGTGTGTGTGTGTGTGTGTGTGTGTGTGTGCTTCAGAATGCTTTGACAGATGAATGTAATAATTTGTTGAAGGACTGCAGGGTTGTGTGGAAGAGGTCAGCTATAGCCAGCAATCTGAGGTTGTGTTTTCTTTGAAGGTATAGACAGAGAGAGGGAGCTTTGCTGTTTGATTTCATTTTGTCAGAGTCTTTTATAAGTTTACTCATTTGCATATAACTTCACTATCAATTGGACATAATATTCTGGGGTCTTACCACAAAGTCCAAACTAAATGCACTTCCTTTTTAGCCATGCTGTGAGTTATATTAATGGTATCACTAATGCTACGATAAAACATTCCCTATTCCAAAATAGGTTTCATTTCTTTCTTAAAAGTACCCGTCCAGACATATATGAATACTAATATTTTGTTTAACATGGTTTTCCTTCATAAAAAGAAAAAAAACCTCAAACGGGGTCAGAAGCAGATCTACTCTTTGTCCCTCATAGAGTGCTGCAGGAATGAGTCCTAAAACGAAAAAATGAGTTAGCATTTTAGCACTCCCGGTTCCTTCGTCTCAAGGTCAATGTCCACTGAATGGGTTTTTGGTTAGATGCCTGAAATAATGTCTGTGATTAACACAAGCTTTAGAGATTTTCACGATTTGTTCTACGGCATAAAATAGGTCAGTAAATACCCCACTCATGGATTTTGAAGCCCTTGGGTGTCTTCAAAAGGACGGTTGCTAAGTGGCTAAATGACAACAGAGCATCATCACGGCAAACACGGCTTTACAGCCTTGTTGAGGTGGCAACAATAAGTCATGTGACCAAAGTGTAGTTTGTCTGTAGCCCTATGTTAGATTTTATTTCTGGCGATTGCATTTCAGCTTTAAAAATCATAAAAGTGGTCTCTATTTGTGAATCTAGCTGAACAAAATGTGTAAGTAGACTCATAAACTTTTGTTTGCCACAGAGCTTATTTTCTGTAATTATCCAACACTGAGTGAGAAAACCCCACTGTGTTATTGACGAGGGAACCAGGGCAACACTAACTTCTGCATTGACCTACAAAAAAACCTGTTGTCCCTGCAGCGCTGCATTGAGAATTCTGGATCTGGCCTCTGCCACGCCCAGCACCGCTACTTTTGGCAGCTTCACTTTCCATTTTGTCCTGCATTGCTTGCACTAGTTTGATCAGTGAAAGAGCAGTGTGCATCAAGATGGCTAGCGTTAGAGGAAACATGAGAGGGATTCAGCCAGACGTGTTTTAGCCTCAGTCAGACCCAGACTCACATGAGGAGTCTGTTGCGCACCAAAATGGGCTACTACCAGATGTATCAGAATAGAAAGTGAAGTTATCATCTTTTATTTGTTTATGTTGTTTGTTAGCTTGTAAGCTTGTGGGCTAACTGGCAGTGGGAGACACAGCATTAATGGTTGTGAAACACACAATAATATCTGCTATGATGGAGTTTTAGTCCGTAAATAGTGGAAAGAAGCTCGGGGTCCAGTTTACATCCAAAAACTGCATACTCTATCATGTTTCCTGTCAAAACTTTCACTATGCTAATGCTAACTCTGCTCTCTGTACTGACAAGTCCGCTCAGTGCTGTGGACGTTTCAGGTTTCGTTGCCAATGTTGTGTCAAAGTCTGTTTTCCATCAATATGTGCTTCCTCTATTAGACAGCCATTGACTGTCGTAGTAGCGACGTACCTAATTCAGCTTGCCTGGGGTACGTTGAACCTCAGATTTTAGGAGACTGACCAGACATTAGAGGAATGTGAAAACACCTCTGCAGTGACAAACTTTACACCATGTACAAGTCAGTATAGTCAAGGTCAGACATTAGGCGACATGAACAGTGAGGAGGACTTTAGAGGTCCTGTATGCAAAATTCAGAACAATAATACAGCAAACAACTATCTATGGAAAGATATAGTGGAGTAATGTCATACTGAGCAGAGAATGTGGGTGTGTGTGTGTGTGTGTGTGTGTGTGTGTGTGTGTGTTGTAATCTGAGCTTCTGTGTGGTTTGTTGTGGTAAGCAGGTCCGGCCGCTTTGCACTGGGCTCATACAGCAGTTACTACTGATATCAGGATGGCTTCATCACAGAGACAAAGCACCCATCCTGCGGTTTCCCCCTGGTTGACACCATTAGCTCTGTCAGCACTGTTGCCATTGTTCAGCACTGATTATGGAGTTAGCACCATGCTTGGTATAAGTCATAGGGATTCCTCTTCCCATTTTTATGACAATATTGTTTGTGTGTTTAGACCAAGATAGTGAACTATCCAAAGTTACGCCTAGAACTTTTATTGTGTTTAGGTGTTCAGTATTTTTTAAACCAATGGCCAGTTGGCCAACATGTGTCGGGATCCGATCACAGTGGACTTTACCTCGGAAATATTTAAAGCCAACTTGTTGCACTCACTCCACGTGTAGACGTCTATTTACAAGTCCAGTTTGTGGCAGCACTGGACAGAGTAGTGTCATCAGCATACATAAGTGAAAAGTATAATTTAGAATGTAAATTGGGCTATTGAGAACAGGAGGGTCACTTACACCTCAGTTAGCTGTGTGCTGCCATCAGAGTTAATTACCATTAGCTAGTGAGTGCTAATAGTCACCTCACTTTGGGCTCCATTGCAAATCTTCAATCACATCAAAGTAACTACACAGGTATTTCAGTGTTCATGTTTTTCATCCCTCCACAGCTGTGGACTATTCCATGCAGCTGCTGCAGAACCCACACCCCACCCCTGTCAAGAGGAGCAGTGGTTCTTTCCGACAGGTACAATATTACTATAGAATGTATTGTGTGTCAGGCATTTCATTGTTCATCTCGATGTAACAAACTCGTCTCCCAAGTCCATTTCTAATGTACACACCTACATTACATATCCAAAATGTGAAGATAACCGTGAGAACTTATGGTTCGGTGTGTGTGTGTGTGTGTGTGTGTGTGTGTGTTAAATGTACAGTGTGTGTATTTAATGGATGTTTAAGAAAGAAACTCCCTCCAGATTTAACAGATATTGTATTTTTTAGTTATTTGGAAGTCTAAAGCTTTTCAAATACACCACACCCTCTGTTCAGAGACGTAATGTGTGTTCAGAGACGTAATGTGTGTAGGTGTGTGTGTGTGTGTGTGTGTGTGTGTGTATGTGCGCGTGCGTGTGTGTGTGTGAGTGTACCTGTGTGTGTATGTGGCCTGAACTGTATTTGCACGGCAGGTTTTCAAGTATAGATAACCCAACACATCTTAGAAAAACAAAAGGAAAAAAAGGATGAGGTGAATACGAAGACAAAAGAACAGAGACTCCACAAAGGTGTGACAGATGCGCTCCAACATGCCAAATCTGCCGTGCATAACCAGAATACATCCACACCCTCACCCTTTGCGGTTATGTCTGAATATGTGTTAAGTGGCCCCACCCCTGCTCATCTGCTCTCACTGTGTGTTTAGGAAGCCAGTCAGCCCTTGAACCTGACCTCCAAGCCAAAGGGGCTGGAGCTGGGGAAAACACCCAGTCCTCAGAGCCTGGAGCTGGGATCACTGGCGCTGCAGGGGGCCTACAGGTCCAGAGATCTCCACAGAGAGGTGTCCCACAGCCCGCCACGATCTGCCCTCAGTGAGTAATGCTGACAGCTGCACTGCTGTGATAGAAAGTGGGAAATCGTGATCCCAAAAGGGGGAAAAAACTGTTGCATTCTCACAGCTCCTCTAAGATGCTTGAATCAATCACCTTATGTGTTTCTGCTCTGGCATGGTAACAGGGCTTTTAAATCTTTTTTCAGGTACCTGAGGAGGTTGTTAGCACTAGTAGCACTATAGAGCAATGTTTTTAAGAGTGGGTCCCTGTTTTGTTTGTATCTATGTAAATCAAAAGACAAAAACATTTACACATAGTAGCTTTAATTTTTAAAGTCATATAAATTGTGTTTTATCTATTGTTGTTCATTATTGACCCAAAGCATTAATGTGTGGTGTCTTTTCTTGAGAACATGATATACTGCTGAGAAAACAATGCATTCAACAGTGTCTGATGGTCTCTGTGCCATGCAGACACACCAGCGCACAGCGACATAATGGGCACTAGTTAAATTTAAAGCAGGACCTGTACATTATCACTTTAACTTTACCTGTATTTTTGTCTTCAGGTTTCCTCGGAGAAGGCGATGTGGTCACCCAGGCCATCCATGATGCCCAGCAGCTCCTGAGAGGTCACAGCACCGGAGGGCGAGAAAGAGACAGGGACAGAGAGAGAGATGGTGGCGGAAAGATGGTGAGCTGATGTCCAAAATGCACAGTCCAAACACGCAGTCCCAAGTATTCTGTTCAGAGAATAGACTGTATATAAAGAAGGATGACATGACAGCTCCCCAAAAGTGAAGCTGAAACATCTGAATCGCTCCCTGGTGGCTGGCTGCAGTATAGGTCATAAACCCCGCCCCCTCCATGTTAGCAGATGGGACATAGCCCAAAACTTTTTCCCACATTTTTCCAAAAGATCAAGCTGATGTGTGTTCAAGTGTTTGTTTTTCTGGTAAGTTTGGTTAGAACTAGTAATTTGATGTTGAAAAAAGGCAGACTGAGGTCATGACTGGCAGCTGTGTGTGCTAATTGGTACGCTCGCTTGTACTGGCACTGTCGCGATTGAACGGACGGATTCTGGCTCCACATAACGTTACCAGCACAAGATGGCAGTGACAGTATCCAAAATATTTTGGCTTAATTTTTGCACAGTGGAGGTCTGAGCTGAATGCTGTATGATTAGCTTAAAGGCTACAGCAGTGAGATAAGACATGCACCGAGGGAATGTAAATGCACATTGTTATTGCAGTCTCTCCTTCCCTCTCACACTGTTGCTGCCACTGCAAACAAACACCTGCGTCATAGGTCCTTCCTGCAATAAGTGATTTTTTTGGACTGCTTGGAGCAGCGGAAACAAATAGTTAACACAACAACTTGACAACTTAGCAAAGTTTATTATTAACTCTAACAGCAATTATGAAGCAATGTTATCATTCATTTGGAGTCACGGCCACCTGATGAATGTAAGTCCAATATTCACTCACTTATTGCTCTGTTTTTCTCCTGAGGGAAATATTCAGATCTTTAGCTGCTAAATGCTCCACTGTGTTTACCAGCTAGTCTCTAAAGCAGCAGTTCCCAACTCATCCAGATTTTTCCTTAATCTTCAGTTCACAGTCCAAACAGTTTCATATATTCAGCGTCATACTGGCATTCAGCCATGTTGCCGAGCTAGTTTGCTGTCTCTGTTAAGTAGCTGCCCATTAGTCACTCACTTTGCAGCAGGAAACAGCACTTCAAAATTAAAGCTCTGTGCTGGAAGTTAACTGCACTTCAAAATAAAGTGTGTTTATAACAGACTTGACATGTTCGCGAGTCATCTGCGGTCCATTCAGAATGGACCCACGACCCACTTTTGGACCACGACCCACCAGTTGGGAACAACTGCTCCAAAGCCCAATGAAAAAATATCTTGAAAATTAATCCACACCTGTCAGACAAGCAGACTTGAGAATTCTCAGGGGCAATTTTATAAATTTACATCACCTGAGTCTGAATTACAGGAAGCCATTACTTTAACTGAAGTGTGAAGTCAGCAATATTACGTATTTTATGTCTGAAATTCCCTTTTTCCGCATTCAGCTGCTAAGAGACTTTGAAAGCCTGTGAAAATGCATTATGTTCATTTCACCACTGAAATTCTGAATAATTAAATGATCTTATGGTCGTTCAGACAAGGCTGGTATATCAACAAAGAAATCTGTCAGATCTTCCTGTGGTGAGCTGGATACCGATACCGTCTTACTGAACAAACTGGATATGAGGAAACACTCACAGTCTGATTCTGACTGACAAAGGGGTCTAATCGGGGGTCAGAGGCAGGTTTAGGGTTACAGAGAGTCATGCCTCTCCTGAGGATTTAACCAACTGAAGAATAACCACGCACAGAAGCGCATTGTGACAGCTCAGCACTGTTGCTGCTGCTTTAGGGAATACGCTGTTAAGTAAACACTGTATGGAAAAGACAAAGAAGTTATGTGTCTGTTGTGTCTATTTTTAGTAAGTGAAAAGGGGCTTCAGTATCCCCTGACAAAGATGCTATCAACTGCTGCTATCCCTCTTTATGTGAGTGCAGTCATGTGCTCCAGTGAAAATGTACAACATGTTTTAATTACACACATGACGTTAGCAGTAAGATGTGGAGCAAAATGGAAACATGCTCCTAAAGCATCTCAACATTACATAATTTGTGTGGAACTCAACAGTTAAAATGACGGTTGTTTTTGTTTTTTTTTGTTGTGGTTCTTGTAAAAATTGTCTTCTATTCTAGTCTTGGTTTTCATTCTTTGAGGTGGCTGAAGCTTTGGTCTCAGCCTCGTCCCAGCGCAACAGCTGTTGCAGCCTCACAATACCACAAAGGCCTCAGTGTGGCATTGACTGAGCCACCTGCCCTCTCTCTTTGTCCACAGTAATACTGTACTCTGTGGCTCTCCTCCTCCTCGCCTCCATTATCCCGCTCCATCTCTGCAGCTGCTTTAACACCAATCCCAATGACTGACCTATTTTGGTATTACACTCCGCCGAACGGGGATAAATAATGTTTTACAGCTCGTGAACAGGCGATAGAAACACTGGCGGTGTGATAGTTTTGCAAATTTAGAGTTAGATTCCCAACTCTGCCTTTTCTCCTTCACCTCTCCTCTCTCAAACAATAAACACCATTCTTCCTCCTGCACGGCCTTGTCATATCCTTTCTTTGCATTTACAGCTCTGCATTATAACAGCAGCTGATATGGTGAGCGTGCAGTTTCTTTACCTTAAATAGCAACTCTGTAAAACACATGCATGCTTTGAACACACCCCTTGCACATTGGGTCATCATTTTAGTGCAGTCCAAATTCAAATCGACCCTTTGTGCTCAGGTGTGAATATTTGTGTGACTTCACTGCGTGTCTGACTTCATCTGTCTTTGTCTTTTTTTATGTCTGCAGGAGTACAAAGATTCTCCCCACAGCACAGAGAAAATTTCTTCCTCCGAGCGGGGTGAAGACAGACACGTTCCACTGTCCACTGAGGACCACCTCAGCAGTGACTCTGAGGGTAGGTGTCCCCGCAGGAGCCTGTTAAATAAGGACGGCCTTATGCATTGATGTTTAGCAAATGTTTTGTATTCCCAGGCATGAGTGGTGACATGGGCGGAGTATGAGACAATAGGCCCCTGGGCATAGACATGGAAAAGGCGCCACCACCTTTCCCTCTCAGGACTAGGAACACGAACACACACACACACACACACACACATACATTTTTGTGTTTCTTGTAGTTTTAAGGTTTTTTTTAGGCAATTTTGTGCCATTTTTTTTGACTCTTTGTGTTTGTTTTGCCCCTTTTTGTAGTTATTTTTGTCTCTTTGCAGTTCCTTTGCATCTCTTTGTGGTCTTTTTGAGGTCTCTTCATGGTTGGAACTGTTAATTTGAGCGACATTTTGCAGGTGACAGCCAGGGGGGCCCTGAAACTTGGTAGGCTTGTTCAGTAAACCCTCCATGAGTAGTGTCACAACTTTCTGTTTCAAAGGTAGTTTACTACACTACCTATTAACATGGTTTCGTGTTACCACTTCAGAACATCGGATTGACATTTAAATATCTCGAAATAACTTGCACCACCACCACCTCCATGTTCAGCTGTATCAACATATTGCATCATCCTCTTGAAAATTTAATTAGAAAAAAGAAGACAACAAGTTTCTGGCACAGACCCAGGATGATGAATGTGGGCGGGGAAAGTCAATCATAACTGCTTGTGAAATCGGATGTTTGTGGGTGAAGAGAAACTTCCCCTTCAACAAGTCAAGGTTAATAACCAGGTGAGAAAAAAGAGAGGTGTAAAAGAAAAGGTTAACGAACAAGAGATACAGCCACAATTGCGGGTTCAAGCCCTTTCCTGGCAAAGAGGAGGAGGCAGCTCAATTACCAAAATGGAGGCCACAAGCAACAGTGAGTGGGTTTCAAGCTTCACACAGCTGAGCAAAGTTCCTTCAGTTGGTTTAATTCTGTCTAAAGAAGGAGTGAGACTAATCACACACTTGCTCCATCATTTTAGTAACTGCACATTCAAAGTCCCGCCTTTTGCTCCCCCTTTATCAGATGTGAACTAACAGTGTTTACCCAAGGATTTTTGTGATCCACTGACTGTAGCCCTCTTTCCTGTAGGTGCCCTGTCCGTCTCAGTCCAAGGCAACTATGCTGAGGCCCGGCCCCCTCCCTCCTCAGGCCACATCAAGAGACCCATGAATGCCTTCATGGTGTGGGCCAAGGACGAGCGCAGGAGGATCCTGCAGGCCTTCCCTGACATGCACAACTCCTCCATCAGCAAGATCCTGGGTGAGCCTAGCTCTGGGCAGGGGTGGGTTTCACTCTGTGCCTCTATTCTGAGACACTGCCTGGCACATGTGAGGGCACGAATAGCCACCTGCTTGTCCCACCAGACACACACACACACACACACACATACTGGATTGAATCCTTTTCCTTGGACCAAACGTTTACATTCCATTCTATTGTGGAGAGCTGGTTGTTGGGAGCAACCACCTCTCACACGGACACACAATGACATGCAGACTTGAATACACACACGCATCCAAGTCATGCATATGTCATGTCATATGTCACATAAACCACGACTTAATTCAAATATACATTTTATTAATAATTACTTAAATACCTCATCTCAATCTGCAGAGAACTGCTCTCTCCAGTACTCTCTGTTCATTGTGGTGGAATCACTGAGATCCATGTTTGTGCTGGTTTTCACACCAATTACTACCACAGCTAATCTCACACATCTGTGGGTGAAGATGTGTTAACCACACCTTCACCCAGAGACAAGGAACTTAACCAATCAAATTATTTTTGGTCTAATATGAATTTAAAAATGTGCATTCTTGTGTACCACACTGACAATGACAAAACCATAACAACTTTAAATACATGGGTAGACTAGGGCTGCATGATACAAGGAAAACATGCAATGCATAGTAACATTGTGAAATATCATGATGACGATATTTCAATCAGGACAGACTTCATATGGAGTTAACAATAATTTATTACATAGTGCAGGATATTGGTGGATAGTGGAAAGTTCTTTGGCGATTAGATGCCACCATGATGTGTATACAAAGTGGGCAGAGGTACCATGGTCAGTTTAGGAATATTCCCCTGATGGAGCTTGGACACTGGTGATGGAAATGAAGATGAGGATGATGGGATGTGGAGCAGGACCGGGCATTGAATGTGTTTAAAAGTGAAGGTAAATGGGGTGGTGGAGGGCTGCATCTGATTGTCCTGAAATGACACCTGACATCAGTGTCATCAATGAACGCCAAGTTCAAAAGGGGGTGTGGTCTGAGCAAAGGGACCAGAAGTAGGCAGATAGGAAGTAGAGACGGGGCCATTGCCCACACACACTTGGGGCGCATTCACACCAGGATAGTCCAGGGGATTTGGTTCGATTGGGCGGGGAATGCCGAAAAACTTCACACCTTCATTTGGTTCAGTTCACTTTCACACTGCACTTATTAAAGCGGACCAAACCGCCTGGACAACGTCACACAGTTACAACAGCTGCTCGTTTGGGGGCGGTATTGCCCAAAACGACCACTGAACAGGAAGAAAAAAAGCATGAGGAAGAAGAAAACCCAGCTCATTGATTGGCCAGGACTAAAAATCGAAATCCATTCCCTTCACAAAAACATCTAACACCAAAAATGCACTGCGCTCTACATCACTTCCTCTCTTTGGTTCACTTCCTCTCTTTGGTCCGCTGGATTGTGCATTTGCATTTCCCACTGTAAGCGGACCGCACCAGGGTTCACTTGCAAGTGAACCGGGACCCCCAGTTTTCAAGTGGACCAGGGTTAGCTAGTTTGGCCCGCACCAGAGTTCGAATGAGTGTTCACACCACTCCAAATGAACCAAACTATCCGTGAAAGCGGACCAGGGTTCGTTTAAAGCAGACCAAATAGCACCAGTGTGAATGCGTCCTTAATGTCCCTGGCCCACATTAGATTTAATCCTGTTGTTTTTGATCTCACCACAAGATTGTCTTTAGTTTTTTTTGGCATTTCACCTTCATTGAACAGTTAGGACAGACAGGAAACAATGGGAGAAAGAGAAGCATAACATGTGACCAAGGTTCCCAGATGGAATCAAATTGATGCACCTTTGACAGACCCGAGAAAGGACGAGAACCCCAGCCAAAACTAAGTTGAAGCTACATAAACATTTAAGCGTGCTCTCTCCTCACTGCTAGAACACTTTGATTGAACTCATCTTTATTGTTTATTTACTTTTCCCTCATCCTCCTTGTGCCAATGTGTCTTTAGGCTCCAGATGGAAGGGCATGTCCAATCAAGAGAAGCAGCCTTATTACGAAGAGCAGGCGAGGCTGAGCAGACAGCATCTGGAGCGCTACCCTGACTACAAGTACAAGCCCCGGCCCAAACGGACCTGCATTGTGGAGGGACGGAGGCTGAGGGTGGGCGAGTACAAGGCCATGATGAAGAACCGCCGGCAGGAGCAGAGAGCGACCTACACACACAGGTAGAAACCAATGCACGCACCAACTTGATTTGCACAACTTTGAGAATGCAATGCACGAGAGTTTGTCCCTGGCAGACAACGCTGACAATTCGCTCCATTGACGAGAGTTTTCTCTGCACCTCCACACATTGTAGACAATGCCTGCAGCTCCCAAAGCTCTCCTTTTATTCTTTAAGACACAAACAAAAGTGGAGTATTGATACCGCAGCTGGGCTGTTTTTTTTTTTCAGTCTGTCCTTGACGATGAATAGCATCCCTCGCCATTGTTCCCTCTAACTCCTCCAACTAGTTAAGCTGGAGGAGTTGGAGGTTGGAACTGTTAACAGTGGTTGGTTTTGAGCGTTTTTCTGTTTCAGTGATGTTTTTCTTTGCCTCCCAGATATGCTCACTGCTCATCTTTTGTCTTTTAGACTCTTTTGAGAGAAATAAACGTAAATATCAGAACCTCAAAATGGCCTTAGATTTCATTTGTGATCGTGTTATTCATATCGGCTTTCTTCAGAGTGACTGGGATACTGTATTTTAAAGACCATTATGTTTTCACTTCATGTTTCTAGGTGTATGTAGGTTGGCAAGCTAGGTCAACGAGCCTCCATTTTCCAGGTGCAGTAGTTTTGCATGGTTGATGGGTCTTAACACTACAATACCCATGAGCCTTGGCTACCATTGCTATAGATACAGTCGGTGTCTAGACATGGTCTAGACATGGTGAGGGCGGAGTAGACGAGGGGGAAAACAGTCCTTTCCCTCAGCCTGTCAATGCTGGGAAAGTGCAATTTTTAAACAAACATAAGAGACACTATTAAATTTACTACGTGATACAATATGAGTAGTTAAACTTACCATAATATCGTTGCCCCGCAGCCATCAGCACAGCCATTGATGTAATAGACTGGTGTGTTTTAGTGAATTCCATGTATGTTTCGAGACAGTATGGCAGTGCTAATGGTACTCAACACCATTAGCCATCAACCATTTTTTGCTATAATGTCATCACATACTGGGACTGTCAGATCTGAAGAACTACATTTTCTTGGACGCTCACAACTTTTTTACCATTGGCTAACACTGAATAAAGCATTAAACCCTTTTTGTTTATCCAGGAACAGCCCCCAAATCACAATCGCCAAACCCACCAGATCCCATTTAAATAAACAGTAATTCTAGCATGTATCGAGTCAGCATACTCTCACATCTAACTGGATGAATTAAGGGTTTGTTTCAACCAAGCCAGATTTAGTTATTGTTAAAACAGTGGAAAGACGAACTAGGGTTGTTTTTGTGAGTTTTATTTTATTTCTTTTGACTCTGAAGGAAGTGTGTTTTACGATGATAAAAGTACTCATCATTTAAATGGAGTCTGGTGGGTTTGGTGATGGCGATTTCGGGGCTGTTTCTGGTTAATCAAAAAGGATAACAAAACGGTCTATCTCTGTAGGGATCCCTTCCATAATTTTGTCAATAACAATCCTGTCCTGAGCCTGTCAGTGGCAAAAACAAGTTCTTTTAGTGGACATAGCTTGATGGTGCACAATTGCCCTGCATGTTTACATTGCCGGCTGCCGTCAGCTGCAGTGGTCTCACTCATTGCTGAACTATTTTCAAAAAATGTTGTTCCCATTACTCACTTAGACACAAAAACATGGGGAAATCAGGTCCAGGTTGAAAAATACCCATTAACTCTGGATTTATAAGCTTATTCAATGTGCAGAGAGACACACAAAAACTCTTTGGTGTAGTAGCAAATGCTTCTTTCCCCCCTGGCATGAAAGGATGTGACATTTTGTGGGCTTTCCCATAAATACTGACTGTATCTGTGGAGAAGAGGTCAGTCAGTGTTGCAAATTCAAAATACTTTGCCACTAAGTTTGTGAACAAAATGCTTTTTATGCTCACAAGGTTGAACCTTTGACATTTAATCAAAGAATTGGATATATTTTGTTTTCTTTTGTACTGATGATTCAAACAGAAAAGTTATATGAATGGTGAATCTCAAATGTTACATCCAAAAAAAAGGAGAATTCAAATTTCAGTTTGATTTAGATAAATAATCAAACATATTCATGCGTACTTGTTTAAAACCAGATGAAACTGTATCAACAGTTCAGACTAGGCAGTGATTACTGTCCATTAAACTCATCACCTTCATGATATTAAAGGTAAAAGTCTCTGAATATCAGCAAACTGATGTATCAGTAGAAAGCTGATTCATCCTACAGTCTTATGGTACGCATCACTTCCTGTCTTTACAGTCAAACAGAACCGCAGCAGATCCACTACTCCCACAGCGATGGCCAGTACCCGGGCGGTGCCAGCTCGGTCTCAGTGGCAACCATGCCCTTTCACCCCGCATTACTGGAGCACTACCTGCCACAGGTGCCCCCCACGATGCGTCGAGCAGAGGGCCAGGCCACACCTACATCCCTGCCGAGAGAAAGAGAGAGGGAACAAGAGAGGGAGCGGCCGCCGTACAGCGAAGGAGAGGAGAGCGACGCGGGAGAGAGGAGTGAGGGGGAACTGGTGCTCCTGACAGACTGAAGTGGGGGAGTGGGGTGGGTGGGAGAGGAAAAAATGGTGGTGAGGAATGAGAGGGGAGGGTAGCTGAGGAGGAAGGGAGCTCTTTGTTGACTGACAGTCGGAGAAGAGGAATGGAGGAGGAACAGGGGAGACGGGAGGGATTGAGTTGTCACCAGATGATAAGATTGCCCCTCTGGTAGGCAAACGTGAAGAGATGTGGTGAGAAAACGTCATACTCACTCCTTTGTAAATTAGTTGAAATTAGTAGAAACCCTGCCCCACATACACACACACACACACACACACACACACACACACACACACACACATAGAGGCAAGCTCTTGTGTTACTCATTTCCCTTCATAGACATGTCATCAGCTGCTTTGTTTTAGAATACAGAAGTCATACTTAAGTTACAAGGGAAAAGGTTTATTGTTTAATCCCTTATGCTACTTGCTTTCCTCCCATGTTGACTTTTGGCACCACAGGGATTCTTCTCATTGGAGGAAAGTTTAAAACCACATACGGTTACCAGAATCCCTGTTTTCACCTGTTTGACAGCTGAGTTACTACTCTGTGGTTGAAGCAACAGGCCAGTGATGGAGCTGTATGTTATCAGCACATCAGTACTGCCCCCTGCTGGTAGAAGCTGGTTATTACTTCATGAAAAACCCAGAGCAGTAGCATTCCTGTCTGCTAATTTTCACATTAAGTATCTCAGTGTTGAGAACACTGACACTTGTTGCACCACATGCTCATATATTACACGACACTCACGCAAGTCATGGATCAGATTGTCTGGAGTAGTATGGAACCTGGAGTTTGGCAGATTATAGTGCTCCAATTTAAATTTGTTCTTAAAAAGACTGAGAGAAAATAAATAGAGAGATCGAAGGTTTGTTTCAGCAATTTGGTAAGATAAATAAAGATGCGGGGCTCAGATTAAAAAAGAATGGTTAGCAGCAAAGGCTGAGATGCTGCCCTACATGCCAGCCGACATAAAGGGCAGTAAGTAAGTAAATAAGAGGCTGAGATATCCTGATGTTTAGTCCTCAGTGTGGTTCAAGCACCTAAAACACTGGATCCTACACTTCCCATGATGCAGCTTCATACCCTGCCACATTAGATACCCACTTCCTGGTAAATGTCCACGTGGTTTCAAAATTTAAACCCCTACTTTCTAACTCTGACTTAAAAGTATACATTTTTAGTCTCTAATCTCACAGTGATAAACCCTTTTGACATCATCAGGGTTATTTTTCAGACATTATTCTGCTGTTCTCACAGCCTGACAAGTAGTCGTCATGACAAACAAAATGAACCTAATGTGTAAAATATATTACATCACATCAGATCACATCACATCAGCATTCTGGAACACTGTTTACTTGAAGCAGATAAGATACATCTTTAAATTGATCTCACTTAAAACAAAACCATGGCAGATGTCAGTCATTGCTTCACATACATTTAGTGGCTCTCGACAGATTACACAGAGTTTTGTTTGTCACCATTATAGACTGTATATGAAGATGAGCGGCACATTTCCACTTACCCCCACTGTACGAAAATGAAGCCAAAATATCCCAGATACGGCTGCTGGTGATGTCATTTGGAGCCGGAGTCTGCGTGGTAACGATCGCTGTGGCGTCGAATTCCCGCCCAAACACTTTGTCCAACCAGTCTTGTGCAGCACCATTGATCGCAAGCACACCAGTGGCACACATAGCTGTCAATCATGACCTCAAACCCCATTAATACTGCATCAAATAACTAACTTTGAAGAAAAAATATCACTTCAACGTACAGCTGCATAATAAGAACTACGTAAAATGACAGAAACCATCTTTGGGAAAAATGTATTTGACATTTACATTGAGTTTTTAGTTTGGCTCATGTCCCATTGCTTAAATGGTGGGATGGGGTTTATGACCCATACTGCAGCCAGCCACCAGGGGGCGATCGTTACATTTTGGCTTCAATTTTGAGGAGCTGTCCATCATGTCGTCCATCTTATTTATTTTTTTACAGTCTATGGTCACCATGGTTGTAGTAAATGTTTCAATTAAGGCAAGGCAAATTTATTTGTGTAGCACATTACATACAGAGCGGTAATTCAGCGTGCTTTACATAATGCATTAAAAACAATTTTAAAAAAGCAGAAAGACAAACTGCATAAAATCATTCAAATGCTAATTAAAAGGATAAAAATCTGAGGGGTCTGTCACAGCACACAGTGGTTTACAATCAGGCCGCCAATGAAATCTTTTTTAAGAAGTTACATCCCAGATAATGTACATTTAATTAACAATCTAACCCTCCTCTTCCTCGTCCTCCCACATCACACTGTTCAGTTGAGCTGTGTTGTATATGCTGTATTTGTGTGTCTATGAGTTCCCTCTCCATAGCACGGTGGGTTGACCTCAGCCTTACCTATTTTTTTTTTATACCTCTGTGTTTGCTTCTTTGAGTGTTAATTGACTGTCGTGTTGAGCACCTCCTATCTGTGTATCCAAATGTCAGCTGTTGTTTTCGCTGCTTTTGAGATGCAGCCTCTTGCAACACTGCAGAAAATATCCAACATGCACCATAATTTTTCAGGAATTATTTTCATATTTAAAAGGCTCAAAGTTAAACTACATAAAGTTCCATCTAAATAGGCTAAATTGTTGTCTTCTTGTTTCATCTTTTATTTTCCTGTTCCAGCTATCAAACAGAGCCAAATCAATCCCAAATCACGTCACATGGAGGCTGTTGTTTATTGGTAGGATGTTCTCTCTAACAGATACAGAGATGGAGAAAAGGTCCATTAATGGTTGTGAGCTTTTGACAGTGAGGCTAAATAGAAACAAAGTTTTTGGGCGACTGAACCACTGGTCAACTTCATGAGAACGTAGAAACCAAAATCATCCGTGAGTCCTCAGTTCATTTTCGGCTACAGTGTGCCACGCTAACAGTTTAGCTTGCTGAGTGATATTTGGCTCCATGTTAGCACTTAGCACTATGTTCTTTGATAGTAGGGCTGCATCACTGATGATTGGAGTTAACATATTGGCATACTGATTGTTTTAGAGGTATGCTTTATTTTATTTTTCCTTGTAGGAAACAGGTTAGTTCCAATAATAAAACTTCATGCTAATGATGCTACAGTTTAGCATGCATGATCCTAAGTGACTCTAGGTTCCAAATTTATTTAATGAGTTAGTTTTAACGTCAAAAATAGTTTGAGTTTGAAGTCAAAAGTAGTCTTAAACTGTAGCTTAAGTTGTAGTTTTATGTAAAACATTGTTATACTTTAAAGTAAATGTAGGACAAAAGATGTGCTAACGATTAACTAGCTACTGCTTTACCTCTTTCCATGTAACGTTGTGGAAAAAGGTAAAGGTGGTGGATTTTTGGAGAATGTGTGCCTCCCCAATTCAGTGCTCAACAGATGAATATGTGGTTGCCACAAGTAAAATAGTGCCAGAAATAAACCTGCTACATCCTACTCAGTATGTTTATCCATTAGCATGTTGCTATTAGCCTGAAGGAATCTGTGGCTAACACTTCTAATCACATGGATAGTTTTGGTGTCTTTGTTCTCAGCACTCAATAACCATATTGACTAATAGGGCAATGTAACAAAAATGTAGTGTACCTACATAACACTGGGGCCAATCCACTCTTAGCTAGCTGCGAGGATGACAAATCAAAATGGCGGGAAAAGAGGAGTTTCAGGCCTCGATGTTTGGGTTTGGGGCTCATCCAAAACAATCAGGGTCAGGGCTGTGTGGAGAAAAGATGCTGGCTTTTGTGCACAGAGATGGATTTCAGAGGAAAATGTTTATCTTATTTTAGCGGAGACATGCTGAGGAGTCGTTACCCCTGCTGATGTAAATATAGAAAGAGACTTTATTTTGTTTATAAGAGCCTGTGTAATTTAAAGGTGTATGTTTCTCTATGTTTTCAGAGTTTTGTGTTGTTGTTTTTTCGTTTTGTTTTTTCTTGAAAGACAATAAATTGGTTGTGCTAATTGCGTTTGGTACGATTTTTTATTTTTTTATGTGTGTATGTGTGTCTGAGACAGGTGTGGATCTCTCCCCACAGACCTTGGTTCAGTTGGTTCAGTAATTACTTTGCTCAATAATTCAGGTCTCCCAGAGGTCGTTCCCTGGGTAACACATCACCTCAGCTCTTTTCAGCTCACGCCTGCATAACACATTATATCAGCACAGCAGTGTATACTTGGATGTTCTACTTTTCTCTTATATATCTAATGTAAACTGATTATTCACACTGGAAAAGTCTTAGTAAATAATTTTCACTATAATCTTAACAGGGGACCTCGAAAAGTGTTAAAAAAAATTTAACACAGCTTTAACTAATAGCACTAATTATAGCTGGATTGTCCAATCAGACGATCCAGGTTCAGGTCCACATAGACTGACTGGAACTGATGCACCTAAGTGGATCACAACTGCACTGTAAAAGGTTTAAAAACTAGTTCTGGTAATTGGGTTGTGAACAATTTCCTGAGACCACTGTTGGGAACAGACTGCAATGACTTTGTTGACCCTCTGACTTTTCAACTAGTGCAATCAGGTCAAATTTCTATTTGTCCATTATACTTGGCTTATGACCAAATACCTGCAAAACTAATGACACTTGTGTAGGCTACCTTGCGTATTTTGTGCTAACTGAAGATAGTAAATACCAAACCTGCTTAACGTTAGCATGCCGACATTAGCATGTAGATCACAGCACTTCTGTGTCTAAGTAGGCCTCCATTCTCACAGGACAGCTAGTGTGGCTGTAGACTCTCAGGCCTTGTCCACACGTCTACGGGTATATTTGAAAACATTTTTTCTTTGCGTTTTGACCTTTCGTCCACATGTGGGAAAAAACAGATTCTTTGGTAAAACTTAGTCCAGGGCGAAGATCAGAACTCCCGAAAACAGCTGTCTTGGAGTGTGCACTGTTATCTGCTTTGTGAGGCGGCATTTTGTGTCCGCCATGTGACCAAAGTAGAGCTGGCTCAAACCTTCAAAATTACATGACTTTTTACATGTTTGCACATAAAAGTACAGTTACTCTTCCACTATATAAGAACCAGAGGCATCAGAATGCACTACAGAGGTCACTGCTCCAGGCAGCCTTCCGATAATAGCTTATTTCCAGGCTTCTCCACCATCATCTTCCTCTTTGTGCGGCTTTAAGGTTACGATCAGCCTGTATCACTGTGTTGTTTTGGCAGCGATCGATTGGGTTTTGCGTTTTCATTTGGACTGAGATTTTTTTTTAAATGGTGCTTGTGTGGACAGGAATTTTTCGAGAACAAGAGAGGGGGCAGCCCTCGAAAATACCAGTGTACATGTGGACAAGTTTGGTTCTCATTTAGATAAGTTGGTGAGTCAAAAAATAAACTCCTTTTACAATCAGTTCACAATTTCCTCAGAAGCAAAGTGTATTTTCCTAACACATTTGCAACCTTCTAACCCACTGGTATCCTACTGATGGATGACTTTTTTTATTTCTTTAAATTTTATTGGTTGTTTTATTTCTTGAATGGCAGCTAACTCAGTTTTGATTGGAGTCTTATTAAATAAAGTGATGGCGAAGGCAGATGCAGTCAGGGACATGAAAGCTCAACGGCAAGGATGTTAGGAGTCATCACCTCAGAGTGTGTGTGTGTGTGTGTGTGTGTGTGTGTGTTTTGGCAGGATGTCCCACAGCAGTGTTTTCTCCGTCCTTCCTCCTGTTAAGGCCAAGGTACCAGGTCAGCTGGTACGCACACACAAACAGGAGGAAACCGGAGAGTCAGTAGAATAAAAGTCATATATTGGTAGTCAGAACTTCTGAGAGCAGACCAATGAAAAACACAGACTTTTTAAAATTATTTTATACATTTTAATGGAAATGTTTACTGACAACTGTTAAATAATTCTTCTTGCCACTCCTACAGAGGTGTGAAGGATCACTGTACAGTAAGCTTTTCACAGTATTTCTTACAGTATTTACATCCTCCATCTCCGCCGGCCGCACGCAATGACGCAGCATCTCCTTGAGCAGTGGATGAGTACATTTACAAAGTCACATCTGCAAGCTAAATGCTGGGTCCCTTTAAACAGCGCTCAAAGCATTTACAAAAAGTAAATATCAGCATACAAAGGAAACAAAAATAATCAGTTATCTGTACAGTGTTTCTTAAAATTAAGTTAGTACATTCACACACAAAAATAGTTAATCTCAAATGAACTGCAATGCAAACCCTCTGAAGCTAACCATTTTGGTATGATTAGAAAACAAACAAAACAAAATGTGGAAAAACAATGTTAGAGTCACTCAATAAATAAACCCTGTTTAAAACTGCTTTAAAACACCAATAAGGCCTGTCAAAAAGAGAGTAAAATCTTTGACGGCCAACATGGAACAGGACATTTTTGGGACACTAGAGGTCGCCACAAAAACAGATCAAACTGGTCTTAAGAAAAAGAGTTCCCATTCTCCTTTGGCTTCTTTTCACCTTACCCAGTGTGTTATGTACTGAGAAACATCATTGTTGTGGCTAGTAATGCTAATAAGAAATTAAAATAACATACTTATCTTCAGCTATGTTTACATGCATTTTAATATTCCACTATTATTGCAAATATGACAATATTGTGAATTTGATAGGGGTCATGTTAACAGCATATTCTGTTTGAATATTCCAATTTCGGGTTAAATCATGAGGGATATATCTGTATTAGTCTGATTTTAGGAGCATTCTTTGGACACGTATACAGCCAATATGGAATATGTGTCTCAGTGGGGGTTTTGCGACACAATGCCTCTTGCCTGTTTGCCGTCAGCTCTGTGTGTTGTACACAGCCAACTAGCCAACAGTTTGTAGGACTGTGAGGTACAGATGCATGCCCAAAAGAAAAGCCCACATTTCTGGTCTGAAGGAGAAACACACCGAACTTCTTAACATTATGAAAGACTTGGATATTAAGAGGTTTGAAGATATGTGCAAATATTGCAACACCAACCTTTTCAAGAAGGTGATTAAAAGAATTAAAGAGGGAGGCTGTGTTCACACGGTTGAACAAGTCCGTCACTGGAGTAAAACTGAAAAAATCCTGGCACAAGCCACAGCCGATCCGCTTTTCCATATTTTGACGACATGCTACGGCATGTTTATTGGAGTGTGCATGGCTGCGTGTAACAGGGAATATTAGTGGACCTTTCATTAGCCACAAACAGCTTAGTAGGAGTATTGTATTTTTCAGAATAAGGACAACTGGATTATTTTGTGCATGTAATCATAGTCAGTGTTTTATTTTATGTTTTGTAGAGCCACAAGTTCTGCAGCAGAAATGTCGAACTTGATTGCAAGTGCAGTCAACAGTGCAAAAACTTTAGCTAACTCCTTGGTTAATATGTAAGTTACAATTAAGACGAGTAGGAAGTGAGATCTGTCACTGGTCTCATTTTTGACTACAATTTTTTTTAGGTTTATCCACAAAATTTAGTTTGACAAAGTGATCCTAACATGTTTAGCTTATACCAGACAACAGATCCGTCTCCATGACAACATAGCAAACTCCATCTGCTGACGAAGACCGTCTGATACAATTGAAAGCTCCTGAAAAAGCTAGTAAGTGAGCCTTGACATAGTTGACATAGTTCTGCTGAATCCATTACTTGTTGTCCAGTGCTAGTTAGTGTATTTATTGAGTAACTTAACACTTTTAACACAAGTTTTGTAGTGGTTTAATATCTCCCCTTGCCACAGTGATGTGGACGTGTACTCCAGGGTGTGTCAGTACACCCTGACATCACTGTTAGCTACGATCACAGATGCAGGGTGGTGCAATAGACTTGAAACTTTCTACCAAATAAGGCAGTTAAAACACTGCTTTTCAGCCTGGTATTAAGTTACTGTTTAAAGACATGTCAATGATTTAGAGAGTGACAGAAAACTCTTAGTTAATGTTCGGATTTTTGATGGTGTGTCCATGTTTTTTTGTTTTTTCAGAGAAGGGCAACCTTTCCTGAGAAAGTTCAAGGACAAGAGTACTTCAATGATTATAGAAAGCGGTGTGTGACACATTTTGAATCCTTAAGAATAGATACTGAACTATTTCAGAGATGATTTTGGTATCAAACTTTTCGATGCCATACAACACAGTGGGTAAGGTGACCAATGGGCCAAACAGCTGCTAATATACTACAACACACGAGAATGAGAGCAGAGTTTTTAGGACAATCTCAGATCTGTGTGGAATGTGTTTTCAGTACAACTCTATATTTAGCTCTAGCCTCTCACATTGGTGACCGCTGGAGTGTTAGATTTAATTTCAGAGGAAACTAAATAAACCTGCCCTAACTTTTCTCTTCCAAAATCCCAAACTGTGTCAACAGATGACTTCCACTCAGGGTCCGTGTCCTCTAGCTAAGTGAATGGAGAAATTCATTCAGTGCAAATGCCCTTTTTTTATCCAGGCTGAATTCCTACCAGGGTATTAGGATTGTGCGTTCAAGCAGCAAGCTTACTAATTTGGCCTTTGTCTGCAAATCTACTAAGCAGATTACTCCACTATTATCCCCTAAAATAAGGGCCTCTTGATTATCCTCAAATGGAAAATGTGCTACTGACCCGGGTCATTTAAGCTTTCAAAAGACAATATCGCCAGTAGCTTTTTGCTCCCAAATATGTGCCAACACGTAAGTACTTTTTTCACTATGTACCTTATGGGACAGTTCACCCCTAATCAAAACTGAATATTTTTCCTCCTACCTGTAGTGCTATTTATGAGTCTAGATTGTATTGGTTTGAGTTGCAGTGTTGGAGATATCAGCTGTAAAGATGTCAACTTCTCTCAAATATAATGGAACTACATGTCACTCAGCTTGTGGTGCTCCAAGCGCCACAAAAAAAAAAAAAAAAACAACATTTCAAAAACTCAACAGCAATGTCTCTTTCCAGAAATCATGAAATAGTTACTCAAGATAATCCACAGACTTTGTTGTGAGAAGTTTCATGTAGGAACTATTTTCTTTTTACTGAACTACAGGAAGTGTGAATCTACTGCTAGTTCACCTAGCACCACTGAGCTAGCAAATGTCACAACTTAGCCAAAGAGGATGCCACCAGTGTTTACATCTAGCGCCACACAAACAAGCAGGCAAGAGACTCTTGTCCAAGAGTAGAATCACATTTCCTTCTTTGGCAGGTGTAGTATGATAGGAAACAACAAGATCTGTGGATTATTTTAGTAACCCAGTCATGATTTCTGGAAAGAGACATTGCTGTTGAGTTTTTCAAATGTATTTTCTTGGCGCTTTGAGCACCACAAGCTGAGTGCCATGTAGTTCCATTATATTGGAGAGAAGGTAGACATCTCTACAGCCGATATCTCCAACACTCTGCAACTAACACCAAAATAATCTTGCCTGATAAACAGCACTAAAGGGATGAGTCAAAATGTGTATTTTTGATTTCAGGATGAATTGTCCCTTTAAACCCACTTAGCCTCACAGCCCTAAAATGAGTTGTAATTCACATCAGAATGCTCTGATCATCCCATCTCAGGATAAGAACCACTGACACATTTCAAATGTAGCTGTGATCCCTCTGAAAACACTTTCTCAGGTTAACGGTCCTGACTGAAAACCATTAACATCAGTTAGTGTCTCTTCTGCTGTCCTGAAGGGCTGCTGCTCACTTGGTAAATTATTAAGCCTATCAGTTACATGAGACCTGCAGAGGAGGACAAAGGTGAGGGCTCAGTGTCTCCCCCCGCTGGGATTATGTGGGTACTGGATATCCAGAAGAGTGTCTGGGTGAGAGAGAGAGAGGACACATCTGTGTTGTGGAAACAGCTTCAGAAGATATGATCTGAAGCTCGGATTCATTCATAAACGTGTTGTGTTTATCAGTCCAGTGTGATCAGGCCAGTGATTGTGTCAACTAAGGGGAGGATGAGGAGGAGTGAATCCTGTGCTTCAGTTCATTATAAAGCCAGTGCTTGTGCTGTATCAAGATTTTACTAACTTTTACTGGTCAGTGCAAAGATTATCTGCACCAAAAGCCAAGTATAGGATTATTGACAGTTTAAAAGTCTGTGCAGAATTTTATGTAAGTCCTACTGAATTAAAGGAACGAAGTTACCGATGTCTAATTAAATCTGAGTTCATTATGAACACATGTAAACTATGAGTGGCCAAAATTAGAATAAAGAACAAAATAATAATTAAGACCTACTGTGCTTAATAAAGGCGCATTCCGCTGATTTTACACATGAAGCTCAGTTTACCTGGCACAGTTAGCACTACTCAGCCTGTGGAAATGGATGTAAAGTGTCTTTTGTGGCTCTGAAGAAGCTTTGTCAAATCTGAACTCAAATAGAGTTGAAACTGATTGATCGACTGACATAAATAATGATCAGCTTCACTTCTCAAGCAAAACCTGTGTATGTAATTACGCATTATGTAAGTATGTAATAAGTACTTAAAAAGACTACACAAGTTGTTTAAGTGACGTCATTGCTTTCTCTCTTGCTGAAGCTACAGTACCTGTGTGTTTCATACCATGATATACCCACACAAGCAACAGGTCTCGCCTGGTTTTTCGCATCACGGCTGATAAAAAAGATCAGGAGTCGCCGGATAACACACCAAAATGAAGCCCCATGGGTGGCATCTAATGTAGCCTGGAGTTGCTAGCCTCCAGCAGATATGAGCTGCGTGCTGTGGTAAGGTCTGGTAAGCTCACTTAAATCCAACTCCACACCTCTAGAATTTTTTTTTTTCCATTTTCTAACATGTAGTCTTCAGCAAACGCTGACCTAAGTGACATCACTTGAGGACATTTATCAGACTTCACACAGCTCCCTCTGGAGACACGACAGGCTTGATACAACCTTTTTCACACATACTGTAGTACTCGCTAACACCTGGAAACAGACTTCGATGCATATAATCAGTGGAGTTATAGTATTTTTGCTTTTACAGACACTGTGCGTGTCTGTTTTTTTTTTTTTTAATGACTACATCTCTGGAGAGTCTGAATCTATGCTCTTTCATCCCAGTAATAGGGGGCTATCATGACAGCAGCACAGCCCCAGATAACCCACTCTTGCCTCATTTTGAAAACTACACTTGATTTGACCCCAGATATAACTTACGCAATGTCTGATTACGTAACAAAATTTAGCTCCAAATCTGGGATGTGAATAGGAATAGATTACAGTGTGGGGCTGAGAGCAGTCTCTGATGGTAAGATGGCCCGTGGAACAGGTGCTACTGCCTCAATCTCAACACAAAAAGGAAGATATGAAACAAAACTGTGGTGGGAGCAGAACATAGATAGTAACAGTGAGGAGGGAGCAGACACAGGAGGGCATAAAAGAGAAAAGGAGGGGTTGGCAGTGGGGGTGACAGAGGTTGTGATTTTCCAAGAGGTCTGGAAAGTTTAAATGGAAAGTTTAACAGAGCGATTCGCTGTAACCATAAAAGTCAAAAAGGTGGAAAACGGTTCGAGGACAGCAATGCACACAGAGTTGAGAGTGACGTTTACACAGGTCCTCTCTTTTTACCCAACATCTATCTCCCCTCCTGCTTCATATCAATTCCAAGTTCAACACAAAACAACCCAAACTGAGGAGCTGTTTCACCTGAGATGTTAAGTAATCCACGTCTTCACATAAATAAATAAATGCACATTAAGCTACTCTCTATCACCGATTGCTATAACACAATAGTGATTCAACCTACAGCTAGTCCATGAAAAGCTTTTCCATTTGCTGTTCCACGGACTCAGTGGAGGTTCTTCCTAAAGAGAAGTCCACTAGCACACAGAGAAGTTTGTTTTGCATTTCTAGCAGCAGCAGTAGTTTGCTTGGAATAACTACAAGAGATACTGAAGCTCAAACTGCAATGACAGAAGAAAACCAGAGGAAACAAACAACACAGTACCGTCCACAGGGTTTGATGCACAGGTAATCTCTGGGAAGTGCAGTGCAGAAATACAGCAGCTATGAGCACTTAGCATCAAAGACAGAGGAAGAAAAGAGGAAGGATCGCACGAGTCAGAACTTAAAGTGTTAAAATGTCTGCAGACAGAAGGAGGAATGGTCTCACCACACACACCACATGCAAAATCTGAGGAATCCCAGGTGAAATGCCTCTGTAGTCAGTTTCTAACTATAACGAGGCCGTGGCAATGAGCCATAGATACAGTGCACAGAGAGCAGGACAAACTATCTGCCAATGTCAGCATCAAACCCTCCTTAACAGTCTCATCCCTCTTTTGACCTTCATTACCAGCGTTGTGGAACATTTTGGCGCCAGAGTGACAGACGATAAAGCAAGTCTGTGATCTCTACCCTAAACTCAGACGGCTCTGCTCACTATGCCTTGTTCAGCTGCCCGAAGAGGGAAAGCGAGACGTCAGGGTTTATCAAGATAAATTAAGTACACAAACATACACAAGCATACACTCACACACATACACACAGAGCTCACTGAAGTTTCATCATTCTTGAGCTAGAGTTGTGACAGACGTGGAGCTACGTTGGGGCAATGAAAGAGTAATTGCGCTTGTTGCAGAAAAAGGATGCTGGGTAGACTGAGCAGAGGTCCATCAACAGCTGGCTCACAGAGAAGAGTTCCCACCCTACAGGAAGTCCCAGCATAGAACCTGTTACACCTTCCCTCCTGTCTTCTCTCCGCAGTCTGTCTTTCTCCATCTCCTCTCATTCTGGGATCTGCAGGGCCATCACTGCAGGTTTGGTCTCAAAGTACTGGTTGAAACGTAGCACAGCGTACCTGCAAGAACAGCCATAAGTTTGATTTATTCTCAGGTTATATGTGAGGAAATATAAACTACAATTATAGTGAAGCTATTACAGATATTGTTTTCTTTTATTTATTTACTTTATTTATCCACTGTTTTGTTTCACTGCTTTCTTCCTCTGTGAGGTGAGAGTGATTGGGTTACCAGTCATATCTTTCCTTAGGTCTACCTCCTCTCTGTGAACTACTAGGTGGGGGCAAGCTTGTTGTCCAGTGTTGGCAGGAAGTGTTAAGTGGTATGGATGCATACAAAAGAAATGAGACTTTGCTTTTGGGTTTTGGGTTTCAGTCTTTTACAATGCTCTGTTTAACCCACACAGACAGATTCTTTTCAGTCACACAGGCTGACCTATCACTTATGTAATATCCTACACAGGGGGGGTCATTACACACAGCTCTACATCTTTCATACACTCACACAGAGACTTACCCGAGGAAGTCGAAGTCGATGGAGGAGTATTTGGCCTGGATGAGCGCCCAGAAGCCCCAAAAGAAGTGAGAAGCCTTAATAGAGACAAAGCAGATATCAGATGAGGTAAAGTAATGTGAGGCACTGTGGGTATGAGTGTGTAAGAGAAGGTGTGTGTGTCTCACCAGAGCAAACTTGTTGACCTGTACATAGAGTGTCTCCAGCTCTCGCTGGCTGACCTCCTCTGTTTTCTTGGTGAAGAATTTGTATGCCTGCAGGTACACTTTGAGCCACTCCATCTGCATCTCCCGACTCGGGTACAGTCCATAATCCAGCTCCGCCATTCCTGACCACACACACGGACACACAGTTGTACAAGATGCCACGCTGGATATAACATTAAAGGGATTGTTTGGATTTTTTGAAGGGGGGGTTGTATGGGGAACTTATCCATAGTTGAACTTATCCATAGTGTATTACATACAGTAGATGTCTGTCAGCACACTCAGTTTGGCTTGCTAAACAGAGGAGCTGCTGATCTACCACTGCCTCATTCCCTTAGTTAGTTTGCGTTATTGTTTGACTTTGTTAAATCCAAACTAACCCTTTAAAAAACCAAAGTCACACAGTAACCCAAACAAAATAACTGATAGAGGCAGCAGTGCACCAGCAGGTAGTGTTCAGCGATGTTAAATCGCTGTCTTTCTCAATAGAGTCTGGCTTTGAAGAGAGCCATTTAACGGCTTCAGGAAAAGCAGTGAGAGTATTCTAAATGTAGCATACACTTAAACTGATATTGTTTTTTTTTTTTTTTTTTTTTAGGAGGGACTTAAGTGGCAACAATATGTTTTGTTGCTGCCCCATTCACAGCAGTAGCTTCCGTGTTTGTACTCCTGCCTGTACAAACTGATCTACTGAACAACCCCAGTTCAAAACTAGCCCTTTAACTCTAACACACAAATCACACTGGTTCGACAAACCTGCAAATTCATTGAAGTGGTTGCCGATGTCGAATGCCTGGTAGTTGTAGCTGGAGTATTCATAGTCTATAAAGCGAACATGACCTGTGAGACAACAAAGAGGACACGTAAAATGTAAAGTGTATAAAGGTGTGCCTGCTCACAGGCTCTTCAGGCTGTGGCAGAGGAAGTCAATCAAACTGGCACCATTTAGGTAAAAAGTACAATGTTTGCACTGGCAACATTTTGTGGGCTGCCACAGCAAAGTATCTGCCAAAGAAGTAAAACAGCAAGCAGCAACAGAAAAGAAAAAAGTCACATAAGAAAAGAAAATATTTCCTCAAAGCACACCTAGGTGGTTGTAGCTGTGAAATGCATCTGCTACTCTACCCACGAAGCACAAATTAGGAGGAAGTCTATGCTCGGATGTAACACTGCCCTCAGAGCAAACCCGTCGTGCCACAGGAAACACTGGGGCACTCACCCTCTTTGCTGTTGTGAATGATGTTCTTGCAGAGCAGGTCATTATGGCAGAGCACCACAGGGGAGCCCAGAGTGGAGAGATGCTCCTTCATCCACACCATCTCCTGCTCCAGCACAGCTTTGCTGGGCACCTCCTGCTGTATTCTGGACAGGGAGAGATAGGAGAGAGGTCAACTTTTTCCACACACATTTTCCCCAGATGCTTCTCTTGACCGGCTGTGACAAATATGCAAACACAAGTGTCTGCAACACGACACCGGCTCCGCAATCACAATGAAGGAAAGTGACAGAAATAGTTTTGCTAGTTGTTACTGACTAAAACAAACAGCGTTTTGCTTGTTTTTGGATCATCACAAAGTGGGAACACACGTGCAGTGATAACAGCTGAGGCCAACATGCACAAACAGCACACAGGCTCAGTGGGGCTACGGCCTGCTGGCTCCTGGGAGCACAGTTACAGAGAAATAAGATCTCAGTGGACACTCGCAGTGCTGCAGAGTGTTACCAAATCACTATGGCTACACTTCTATGTCTCCTTTTGAAATGACCTGTGAGATCTAATTATAACCATCTGATATGTGATTTATTCCATCACTGCATATACATACTGTGCTTGAAAATGGCATTTATGCACCTCCTGCAGCTGTATTTATTCAGATATCTGCCCTTCTCTATCTCTGTGCATGTGACACAGGCCTGCTGAACATTCATACATCCAACCTGAGTTCAGCCCCACTCATATGACGCACGTTGACAAATCTGTGTCAGTCTGAAAGTGGTATTACTGGCTAGTGGAGAAAGGGTTAAGTCGCTGAGTTAGTTTCTCAGCTAACCAGACTGGTGTGCCAAGCAAAGACCCCAGTGCTACCGGTAATGGGCTTATGGGACTTAATCCACCGTCAGCCTGATAGCAGGAGATGAGAGAAAGCTGGGACGGAGGCTGAGTCTCAACTGTTCAGCCCCTGCCTGGTGTATAGCAGAGATATGACACTGTTAATCTATGAGAGGTGGAGTAATTTTGCATCACACTGGAATATTACACATCACATAGATCTCTGACAATGCCAGTTAACATCTGGGCTTTTATACAATCTGCTTCTGACCACAGGGCCACAAGTGTCGGCTGTCCAGGACCAGGACACTCTAGCTGTCAGTGTAACCAAGGAAGAGAGTAAAGTGACCCGATACACTGAGCTGAGCAAACATCTGCTGGCCCACTGCATGCCTCAGACTCCCTAATCCAGTCGGCTATTATTGTTACAGTTATATAAGCCACATGCTGGACTTAATCTAATAGCCATCAGAAGAAAGATATCTGCTGTGACTGGGCAGCTGGCCAGGTTATGAAACGGTCCACCTTTGTCGGCTCCACAGCTCTGGTGCCAAGATGCAAACCAAACCATCTTCAGCCTGAACTGCTTTTCCTTCCTCTTTTCCTGAGATGAAAATGCAATTCCATTAAATACATTTCTCAATGCCAAATGCACCAGCCTTATGTGTGTGTCAGCCCAGGAGTCAAAAGTTATTAGATAAATTCTAGGAGTTATAAACTTTCAGGGTTTAAAGTTGGTCAGAAGCAGTGTGATTTATAAATTACAACAGCTGCCTTGATTGCTAAAACGTTCCATCCTTCCATTATGAACCACATTTTCAGTAATGCATTTCTTTCCTGCAACATCTATGCTTGGCCATAACAACATATACAGTAAAGGTAACCTGGATTAAGCCATTAACCTGGATTAATGACTGACAGGAATAAGTGTTGACTGCTTGTTAACAGGAAGTGTTTATGACACCAGATCAAATCTCTATTTCATATTTGTTTAGTTATCTGACAAAATTTTATTTTGTGAACTTGGCTGCATAAAACAGTACAGGTAATGACAGAAAAGATGGAGACTGAACAAAAGTTTAACATGCTGTCAACTTTCTCTCGTCTCTAACTTTCTCTGAGGTTGTTCAGTTCAATATACAGCCGATGATTCAGCACATGATGTCGTCATCATGAAATAATAAATTACTAAGCACTAAACAAAATGCACAGCTGGTGGGAATGTGTCTAGTTTTGCAGGTAATTAGTCATAAACCAAAATATTGGACAAGTGAAATGGTGCTAAATAAAAAGTCAGATTGCCGAAGTTGGATTCATCATCAGGGGAAACAGCATTGACATGCTCGTGTGGCTAAAAATATGCTTTCACAAAACAGTAAAGGTGGTTGCAAAGCTTCTGTTCTGTCATAAAGAAAAAGACACCACCTTCTAGTATTAACCTTGGCAGTATCCTCTCACTTCCTGAATCCACAGTAAGCCAGATGACTATTCTGTAAGTACATCATGTGCCATATTAACGACCTCTGGTACCTAGAGAATTAAACAGGGGAACACATCCTGGTGCAAAAACGTTTGATAAAACTACTTCACTGAGTGCTCTCAGATGATATCAGGCTCAGGGTAAATTGACTCCATCCTCATTACTAATGTTACAGGCAAATCAGGCTGCGCTTCAGGAACTATTTGCATGATTATCAGAGTGCATGTGTGTGTGTGTGTGTGTGTGTGTGCTGAGCCACAAGCAGGATCACCCACCAAGAGCTGCTGAGAGGCAGCTGAGAAGCCAGATCTCACCTAACGTTGGACGCTTGGTCGGTGAACTCGGTGGCCACGAGGGAGAAGTATTTTCGCATCTTGATCCACAGGTTGGGTTTGGGGATGCAGCCATTGTGTGCATGGATGGCATGGATACGAGCCATCTCCCTGGCTATCATTCTGCGAGGAGACAGACACACAAAAAGATGACTAGGTTTCAACATGAACCCATACATCACTTCAGTTCAGCTACACTGAATGAGTCTCCAGTTCAAGGAATTCAGAGTTCCTGGAAAGAGTCAACTGAATACACCATGTGACACACACTGAGTTGATGTAGACATAGGAGTGTTTAAAAGCCAACACCAAGGATAATGAGTTTTAACAGATAAAGAATTAGTACTGATTTCTTTGTGCACTTTACAACAACTGAAACTCTTCTGAATCCAAACTTAATTTTGGAATTGGCCTTTGATGATTTGTTTCTCCATTATCAACCATCCGCCAACTACTATTTGCATGTGACTCCTATGTTCTTGCTTCATTTGCCTCTTTCCTGAGCGGTGTTGAGGTATTGCTACATTGTAAAGCAGTTTGTGTCTATAAGTGCAGTGTGGAAACCTAGACTGATTCTGAGCACAATTGGACAATGCCACTTGTGTTACATCTCTGAGCTAAGTCAGTAAAAATCATGAGTAGTCCCATGACTCTACCATGTCCCAACCTTAGTAAGGAAGGATCCCTGACGTCCTGCGTCCCAAGAGCGTCCCCCTGCATGAACTCATAGCAGATGCCATTCTGAAAGGTGCAGTAGAGGCGAGGAGCACAACCATTAGCATGTAGCACCTATAGAAGAGACAAAAGAAAACACAACACATTAACAGCGTTAGAAGGGAAAAACTATTTTCAAAGTCACAGGAGAGCCAAGCACTTTAGACTCATCTGCTATTACACTACCTGAAAGCTTTTGAGCTCATTGTCTCTGTCCACAATCAGTTCTGTCTTGTTCCCGTATACTCGGACCAAGACCACATCCTCTGGACTTTCCTCCACATAGCAGCCCACTAGCTTGTTGGTGGTTCCATCAGTGAAGAGCTGGAAGATGAAGAGAAGAAATCATTTAACCTGAGATACAGAAGAATACACCCAAACTTTGACTGTGCTGAGTGCTTCCCAAAGAAAATCTTTGAAGTTGTGTGTTCTCTAAAGCTATCAGCTGTTTTAAGGTCAGGACCAACAGTGCAGACACCATGCAGCTCTGACCTACATGGCATATATGTACCATAGAACAACATTCTTTACAGAATCACTGTCATACGTGCCCTCAGACCACAAATACTGCATAAATGCCAAGCATTCACCATGATGCTTTTTAAAACAAATTAAATTCAACATGTAAATCTTGGCACATTCAGTCATTTAAAAACCTGTATAATTTATTTTAAGTATAAAATATACATTGATGTTTCATCAACTTCCTCATGATGCAGTTGTTTGCAACAGATTAATGTACTGTATTGATATGTACAACCTAGATATTGCACATGGCATCAGGCTGCAAGAGCTATTTTAAACATGTATCACCACTATGTTTTTTTTACCTATAAACACTAGACTCAAAAAGTGACTTGCATTTTTATCTAGATTCCAACTGTCATGTCTCACAATAAGCTAATTGCGGTGAATATCCATTATTGGGATAATTGTGAATATTGTGTCTAGCAGCACCTTAAGAGACTGCTGGGCAACCAACAATAAAAGAGATTCTGCAAAAACATGTCACTGGCATATTTTAACAATGCACTCGACAACACAACAACAAAAAAATTAAGTTGTTGTCTTAGTAAACTGAATGCAGACCTTTTTTTTAAGTATGCTGATGAGTCTTGATACTATTTATTTGGTGTTTCTGCTACAAGTGATTTCCTATGCTGTATAGTGCTGCCCCAAAAGTCAAAGCATTAAATAATCAATCTGAGACCCCTCAGCTGACTGAGTTTCGGCAAGTTGAGCAGTCTTTTTTCAGTCAGTCAGTTTTTTTCAGTCCTGCTGCTCTCCAGCCCAGGCAGCTGCAGACCCAGACCCAGGGTGTGCGTGAGTGAGATGGAGGCAGCTGCCTGCAGGAAGACAGGCTTTGCCCAGTCGGGCCCTGAGATAACTTTATCTTTTGTCTTTTGCTTAGAACAGCAACTTAACACAATATAGTTTCTGGATTTTGTTTGATTTCTAGTGTCGGCAAAAAAAAGTTTTTGCAAATTTCCAATTTGTTGTCAGCGTAGTTACATCACATTAGCTCAAACGGTTAACTTGGCTTGTTTAACAATATTACGTGAATGGCGCTGTCACCAAACTTGATATGAAAAAGGGGCAAATAGTCGAGTATTTGTACTGAACAGCTAAATCTGATTCGACTCACATAATTCTTTGTCTGTTACAACCCTAATGCTGTACAATATAAACTGATGTGGTGATTGAACTTATTACTCTGAGAACAATATTTCAGAAAATGACGTGTTTAAGCAGTTGAGGAAAAGAGTAATCTGACAGGTAGCACTTACTCTTCAATTATCTAGAAGGAAAAATGATGTATGAATATTGCTAATACAGTTCATTTGGTTAGGCTTTGTTTGATATAATTCCAGATTTGCCATTTACTCCAGCACATGACAACATTTTTGAAGATTAAAAAGAACATGCTTGATTCTAAAACAGTGGATACAATTTCACTTTACCCTATAAACCACTTAGTAACATTTTATATAATGACAACGCAGACCTTGGCATTGCACACTACAGTCTGCAGGTGTATTAAATGCAGCAAGTTAAACACATAGGGCTTTGACAAGCATCCAAAGTTCCCACTTATCCTGAGTGAAGCACGTCCAACCACACCCTCTCTGTGCTGACCGCAACCAAGACTACTTGACTCATCTGCAGGGTGGTGTTGGCACTGCATCAGTGAGTTAACAAGTTAAGTCAAATGCCTCTCCTAAAATGAAGAGTAAGCAAAAAGCCCTCTGTGTCTAAAGCTAGGCCTTAAATATCTGAGTGACAACATCACTCCAGTGGAAACCAGTGGGCCAGTCCATCCCACTGCAGCGAACACAATAACAACATACACGCTGCCTGCATCTCCCCCGGCCCAGACGCTCACTCACACATATCTGGCATTCCACACGTGGCTGACCACAAAGATGGGCGCGCAGGCATCCCTGTTATGACCGTACATACACAAGCATACACGCCTTTGCTACCACATGACTGATCCCTTCTACCCGCCACACAATACACTGCTAAGACCTGCGATCAATACATCGACAGACAGCGATAAGCTTGGACCCAGACAGAGGTAAACATTCTGCCATATACTGCCTGACGCTTTCTTTTTTTCCATGTATGAGTCTACGTTCTGGGGTCTGACTGCGAGGCCTCTGAAGCTGCCTTTCTTTGGCAGAGAGGAATCGTTCTGTCTTCAGCATGAGAAAGTTGTAAAAAGAGACTGATGCTCTGTTGCTGTTGGCACACTCTGCTGTTTTTTCGGAACTCAGTGTGTGTGTGTGTGTGTGTGTGTGTGTGTCTGTGTGTGATGTTTGGAAATGGACAGTGTGTATTTACAGTAAAAGTCTTCCTGTCCAGGTGGCGGGGCTAATCAGGTGTTTCTGTCAACAGTGCTGCCCTGCTGCTCCTCACCACATTTAGCGCTTCCCGCTCCCATCAAAACAATGGTCCCGCTGCTCAGGAACATCCTCCCAAACTCAACCAAATAACACTTTTTTACATTAATCTCACACTCTCCTCACTCTATTTTCAGCTGTGACCCGTAACGTGAATACTTCACCAGTCGTGCAGCTGTACAACACCATATGAGGTCTGACTGACAAAAGCTTCCACTGGGACATAAAGCCTGTTTGGATGTTGATCACTGAGAAAAGCTCTGCTGGTCTGGCCTGCAGAGGTCAAGGTAAACACTGTTGCGTCCTCATCTGCAGGTGTGTGAATGGGTGGGGTGTTGGATTCAGAGAGATTAGCCAGCAGGATGTAAACACATGGCTGGCGTAACTGTGTTCAAAACGTGCCACTGGGGAGAGTAATAACAGTACATGGTGTTCAATGGTGCCCACTGTCAGAGTTAATCCAAGGACTTTGACCTGGCCACGACACATCAGTCACTTGATCATTTTACAAGGAATCAATTATGCATCTTCCCCGCCCTGACAAGCTGCATCTGTAAAATGGATTGCTCAATAACACACGTGTGTGTGTGTGTGTGTGTGTGTGTGTGTGTGTGTGTGTGTGTGTGTGTGTGTGATAATGATGTGGTGAAGCTTTTCGTACAGCTTTTAGTTTCATACTGGTTGAAAGAGAAATGTATACCGGAGATGGATACAATAATGTAACCATCGATTACTTATAGTGTATGGCCCCACTCACTGTTTATTTTGATTCATTGTTATATACTGTGAATGTGTGCTGACATTATCTTGACTGCACACCCATGTGTGTTGATGTGCTAGTTTTTCTTCACATGAACAAACAGATAGGCCTGTATATGGACAATAACAATCAGCTACACATATACAGGCCTATCTGTATATATGGACAATAACAATCAGCTACACATATTGTTTTGGTTTTGCTTGCATTTAGAAATCTTACAACTTTTTCCATGTGTTGAGAGTTGTATCATTTCTTGTGGACAAATTCTTTGGATACTATCTGACACTGTCTAATTTAATATCATTATATCATTAATCAATAAGCGTTTATTATGATGGAAAACCCTTGATATGTATCATAATCTGCACTTGCATTTTACACATGTGTACTGGCTTTATTAAAGGCAAAATCCGGCTCACATATTTTCTGTTACACACTGATCAGGCTGTTGAATATGTAACTGACAGAGTAAAATGTTCAACAGAAGTGGTGAAGGCTACTGAGGGCAGAATGCCGACGCTGGGTTAATATGCTACTTTGGAAAGAAGCAGAAAAACGTTTTTTTTTTAATCAGAGATAGGGGAATGCAACTTCATCTCAATTAATTTTACGCAATGTTTAAATCTTGCCTTAAAAGGGATTTGTTAGATTTAACTTTTGTCATTTTTTCCCTTCTCTCTGTTTTTAATGTGTTCTTTTTATTTCTGAGAGAAATGTGTCTTGGTGTGTATTTATTACCTTTTTAGTTATTTAAATATTTTAAATGAATTTTATGCAATTTCATGTACTGCTGCAACAAGTAGTAGATTAAATAATCATTTTAAGTAATATTTTCTTATGTTAAGATTCAAGGTCCATTTTATTTGTCATTTTACAACACAAGCTTGCACAAAGAAATGTAAGTTGTAGCCCTTTCACAGTACACACACATAAAACAAACATACAAATAACATAAAACTACATACAGTCATTTATATACACTTATATACTAGAGATGGACAGTTAAAGTACTCACATCAATTCTGATGTACTTGCAAAATAAATCTAACCTAAGAACAGGGTCCAAAACATAGATGTATATAGCTAGAAACCAGACGTCAAGATAGCACCTATTCAGTCCAATGGAACTGCTTTCCCGGAACATACGCTGAAAAGGTTTATAGCCTCCGGGTTTACTTACACAGTATGCAGCTTACTTAATATGCACAGTAATGTTTCATCCTGCTAGCCCCACCCATGAACTCACACTTGGCTCATAGACTTTTACACTGTGATGACGTCACAGAAATTTAAATTGCTTTTCTCTGGTTGAGGAAGTTTTTCAAATAGAAAACCTCCATGATAAAAAAAAAAAAAAATATTAATAACCGAAAGAGTCATAATTGACCTTGTTTGCTGTTCGAGGTGTCCTGTCAACAGTTTTACAGACGTCTCTTTTACAATGTCGGTCAATGGGGAAAATGCTTTTTGGGGTTTTTACGCTGCAATACCGTGAGTGGCCACTGGTAAAAACTGGAAGCAAAGCTAAGCTGCATTCCCGGAGGCCAGAGTGTAGAGAGTGGCTAGGAAACACAAGTTTACACATTATGTAGCTTGCACTGCACATGCATTTATTTTCTCGAAATCATAGACTGTATATAAAGATGAACGACATGACAGCTCCCAAAAAGTTATGCCAAAACATCTCAATCCCCTGGTGGCTGGCTGCAATATGGGTCACAAGCTCCACCCCCTCCATGTTAGTGGATGGGACATGGACCAAAACAAAAAATCAAAATGCACATCAAATAAATGTTTTCCCAAATATGGTTTCTGTAATTTAAGGTAGCTGTTACCACGCTGCTTTGTGCCCATTTTGGTTTGGCTTGGTTTTAGTTATTTATTCAATGCTATAAAAAGGAGGTCTGACATCATGATTGACAGCTGTGCCTGCCACTGGTGTGCTCGTGATCAATGGCACTGCTCCTGATTGGTCAGACAGATGTATGGGCGGGAACTCGACACTGCTGAGATCGCTGCTGTACAGACTGGCTCAAAATGACGTCACCGGCACAGGATGGCTGTGGCCATATCTAGGCCATGCTGGCTTCACTATTTAATAGTGGGAGTAAGTGGAGACGTGTTGTGCATTTTTTATTAACAGTCTATGGTTGAAATACTTCCAAACTTCACTCTGATGCCCGGTCGCCACTCTGCCATTAAAGCTAGATTAAGTGTGTCTGACTGACAATATTAAATGTAATCTGCGGGTGTGCAGATCTGTCATTCTTGCAATTTGGATCTGTGCAGATACTCACAGATTTCAGTTACATCACTGCGTCCTGTCTGAGAAATGCAAATATTTAAACTGACTTTCAAATCGAGTACTCAGGTCCATCCCTACTATATACATATACACATATACACACACAAAGTACAATGCATACAGTAAAATAGTCTCTATAAAGGTTTGTAGAGGCTACTGTATGTACTTGCACTGTAACAGCTCAGAAATGCTTAACTCTCAGATATTTTCCTTGAAACTCTCTCCTTCCTGCTGCTGTCACTGAATTTTCATGAGCTATAAAAGTTGCAATAGTCTCAGTTTTAAGTTAGGTGTCAAACTTAAGCAGACACACCTTCAGGTTTATTTGTAGAACAGGCACAGACCTGTGTAATGTGACCTGCACGTCTGCTTTCTGATCCTGTCTGTTCATTGACTTTATTCATGCAAACACTGCTTATCATTTTACCTAATAAAATAGCTGAATAGGAAAGGTCTCCCAGCATGCGTTTGCCTATATGTGTGCCTAGCATATATATAGCAATATTTCTGTAACTATTAACATCCAGACACACTTTATAAACTGACAAGTGAGCAACATAATAAAGAAGCAAGGCTGACTATCAGTGACCAGAGTTCACCCAGCTATGGCACAGTCTCATAAGGTGTGTCTCTGCTTCACCATATTTCTCACCCAAACTGACCATCACGTCACCATCAGATGGTCTCAGACACTAACCTGGCCGTGACTGGGCTTCACTATTGTATCTGGTGCTACGTGTTGTGTACTTTGGACACATAAAACTGTCTGTAATAGGAATATATATCCCTGCTTGCCTTTGGGGTAACTTAACTTCGTGACGATAGTTTATCTTACTTAGAATTCAAGTCTGGGGGCGTGGGCTAGCTAAGCTAACGTTTCCATATTATTTAGCTAATAAGACGCCTTAAAACAAAAGTAAGGTAGAGAGCGGTGTGTCGTTTGTTTTAAGAAATTAACCTAGACAGCAGATAATGTTTCCACGGCCCTCCTCCAGGCTGCCTGGTAGTGCTGGGTGATGCTGCAGAGCTGTCAATCTTAACTTAGCCTAGCATACAGCTAGCTTAGCGGCTAACGTTACCTTGGTCTTGACATGGCTCGTGTCCCACGCCGGTCTCAGCTCTTTAATGAGCTTCATCGCCCCCTCCGTCACGTTGTGCTCGTCCACGAAAATGGGAATTTTTCTAATAACCGGCGACCCCACGGGCACATGTATCTGCGTCTCCATCCTGCAGCCGTTTATCTATAACGTTAATCTCCGAGCCCTTCACAGATATTTCTAGAAATGGCAGCATACAAGTGTTGCTTGGTTTATAAGTAGCGAGATGTCGATGTGTTTTAGTGCGTGAATGAAGTTCTGCTTGAGAGATGTGTCTTGCTCGGTTGCAGTTGCAGTAAAGGTGACTTGAAAGCAGCGAAGATGTACGGTCAAACTGCCGGGTATGGATGCTCGTCGCCGGTTTTCTTGGGAGCAGTCAGCCAACAGTACCATTTCCTCCTACTTGGCTCCGCCCGCCCGGGATCATCCGATTGTACCGCCGGTTGAGACGCACCATAGCCGTGCACGCCCCTTGTCTCCGAGTGGAGCCGAGTGGAGCCGAGTTGAGCCGAAAAGAAGAAAGCGTCACATACTGGTGGCCTCATGAGTCATGATAACTTCTTTAAAGGAAAACAAAAGGCAAAGAAGTCTACGGGTACTTAATGTAGGCAAGCTACAGTGAATACTGAAAAGCTATGGGACACTTGGGTTCAGTTTCTGAGAGGGTTTTCTTGTAGACAAACAACTAATTGTCTAACCACTGTCTAAAGTTACTGTCATGTGTGAACTGTGGAGGCCAATGCTTCTTCTCTTGTACCTAATGAGAAAATAATGACAAGCTGCTTTCAGGTCATAATGTGGAAGAAAAGTAGCCAATGTACTGTAATTAGTGAGCATAATAACATTATGGACTTGCATATCTTGGTCTGTTCATTAAACTGATAGCATGAACAATGTGTGCTAGAGCAGTGGTTCTCAACCCTATAAATATTCACCAGGTCAAGGACCTCCATTTGATAAGAATTTGCATCTGAGACATCCATCTGAAAAGATTTTGGTTGTTAGATATTATTAAGACCAGATTCTATAGCTGTCATCCAGAGCTGCAACAAGTTGCAGGTTAATCGATCAGTCGATCAACAGAAAATTAATTGACAATTTTGATAATCGAGTAATCATTATAGTAACTTTTTAAGCAAAAAAGCCAAACATTTGCTGGTTTCATGCTTCTTGAATATAATAATTTGATGCTTTATATGTCATACATGATAATAAACTGAATTTCTTTGGATTTTTGACTGTTAAAGATAAAACATACAATTTGAAGATGTCACCTTAGGCCAGGGGTCTGCAAACTTTGCCATTAAAAGAGCCATTTTTGACCAAGAATAATTTGAAAAAATCTGTGTGGAGCTGCAAAACATGTTTGAGCCTTATAATCAAGGTAAATAGCCTATTAAGTCTAAATTACCGTATACTTATGGTCTAAATAAGCATTTGTTAATATGTTTTACCACAAGGTGGACACTGTGCAGAGCACTATTTATGATTATTTGGTACTTAAATTTTGCAGAGCTGGCAGTGAGAGCAAACAAATCTGTCCACGCACTACTACATTCTCTATTTTATTCAATTTACTTTTTTGGATTTGGCATCCATAGCTAACCAGCCACTGCTATCGAGGTTCAGCAACATATGGATTCATAGAAAGAATTTCAATAGAATTATTTTCTCAAAGGCTCAAGGAGCCACTGGACAGGGGCTAAAGAGCCACATGTGGCTCCGGAGCCACAGGTTGCCTACCCCTGCCTTAGGCATTGAGAAATTATACAGGGCATGTGTCACTATTTTCTGACATGTTACCAGTAAAATGGTTAACTGATTAATCACAAATATAAAGGGCAGATTAATCAATTATGGAAATAATAGTTGCCCTATTGTCAAGAAATGAGATAACCGTGGAGGACAGAAAAATTCTGATGAAAATAGTCACTCTTATGACCACCTGGGGCCTCTGCTGGACCCCTAAAAACCACTGTACTGGAGATAAATTAAGGTAAGATAAGTTATATCAATTCTAAGGAGTGACAATTAGGTGTTCCAGCAGCACAAGAGACAGAAAGGAGCAAAAGAAAAACAACAGAAGATATAATTTATTAATTATATCTTCTTGTGTTTGTGTTAAATAAAATTAAAGCTATATAAATAAGTACAGAAGAGTATACAATAAGCACAGAAACTATACAGTAAACTGAAACAATAAAATACCTGCATATAAAATAAAGTAGCCTAGGCACAGGTACATAAATGTGCTTTATGTGGACTGATGTAGTAGCTAAATGTGCAAGACCCAACAGGACGTGATTTCAACCTATAAAAGTCTTGATTAAAAGTAAAAGCTGTCATTTTGAAGAATGGTCCAGTGAAATAAAAAATCATTTAAATATAGTCGCTGGTCTGAATGATTAGTCTGTGCTGTTGGGTAATTTATGCAAGGAAGCCCTGGTAGCAAAGACAAAATACAGCCACCGGATAAATATAATGAGTTATCTCAAATTTGTACTTATTTTCTACCTGTGACATCTGCTGCTTAAAAAGATGCATGAGGATGAAGACTATCAATATGCCACACCAACTCTGTCAGAGTCATGTCACTGTGTGCTAATTTGATAAGTGGTTTGCATAAAGTAGACAAGAGAAAGGCACAAATGCGCACACCCACCACCCGCTGAAAAGAATAAATGAAGGGAACATGACCCAGCAACCTCCACTACAGCAGTACCAACTCTGAGTCAAGTGGTGGCAGTATAGTAATAAAAATGTCTTTGCCAAGTGGTTCAAACAGAGGGACAGGTTACCCTGAGGGATGACTTTGAAGAAGGGCTACTTCCTGTTAGGATGAGTACACCAGAGAACTCTGTAGGTATCAGCTTCTTTCAGCTGCATCAAGAAGTTGTCTTTCTCATACCAATATCAATGTCTTTGTTCCTGGTAAAGATCCAGTTTAGAATAAGTATCCCTTTTTGTTACAGATAACTTCCCAGTTGTCCTCAGCTTGGACTCTTCTGACATCAATCAGGTGGTTGTAGCAGTGATGGAGCAAGTTTGAATCGATAAAGCAACTTTTATGAATTTCCACATGATTATAATTTCATATGGGTATATGAGTGCTAAATACAAATTCTTCCTCAAACAAGAAATTGTGATATACTTTGTCACATTGTGATTTTAATGAATGAGAGCTTGGGTTAAACATGCTGAAAGATGGGAAGGACTCAGCTGTTTTGATACTATGTCAAATCTTTAATACTCTTTACATCAAAAACTTAATTTCTCCCACTTCTTAACTTCCACACTCATGGGATGCCTACCAGCACCGTGGCTCTTGGCTTTTGTGCTCATCATGACTCTGCTGTCTGTTACTAAAATCCCAAGGAGCCAGACAGCTGGTGAACATTGACATAAACAACCACGGACATCCGGCCATTTAAATCTGCTCAAACTTGTTGCCTATATTGCTAGAGGCAACCACTCCACATCATTGGTGTGTATGTGCGCAAAGCCAGACTACATAAACAAGTCCACAGGAAGTTTAGGGAATTTTCGGCTGCGGTGTTTACTGTCTGAGAGCAAAGAGCTGTGATTGGGCCTACATAAATACATTTGTATAATCTACCCATAACATTCTTATTGCAGCAGCCTGAGTCTTTATGCATTCATACAGTTTACATTTACCCCAGCACTCAGATCCCTTCATTAGATGCTAATGCACTTCATGATTTGGTCCCACTCTGTACATTTCTGACCTGCTGACTACAGTAGTCAGACCTCTGGTGGTGGTTTTCTAACATTGAGTTTTCTCAGGGGTATGATTTATGACTGTGTCTGTGGGTTTGTCATTACATTTTTATGGATGGTTGTTTTTTTCTTGAACTTTTTGTGCTGTATTGTATTTTACTCTAAGTATCACTTTCTGTATGCATTTCAATGTATAACCCATTGAGTTTACTTGTATTTATAATGTGAACATTTGCACATTCTTTTGACAGTATTTTGCTATGTCCATCCTCCTTGTTTTAAACACTATACAGGTACTGACATTTTAAAACAGATGTATTTTAATATTTTTTATTATCAATTTCTCTTTTATATTCATGATTTTTGCCTTTACACTGTTTACTGTGTGTGCTGTGACTGTTATGGACCAAACTAGCAAGCACATTTGTGAGTTAGGCAAATATATACATGTGTAAGGTCTTATTTAAATAAGATAAGAAAATCAAAAGGTAAATACAATATAAATGTCATACATAGAGGATACAGTGCATCTGTGAACACAATACTACATATAACAATGAAAATATGCAAAATATTATATGAAAAATAATGCTAAATATATATGTTTTAGCTCTGAAAGCTGGGTCCAGCAGTCAATACACACTTCTCACACTGACCTTATGATAGTTTTAGCCAAGGCCAGTGTACATTACATTAAAGTGTGCCTGCTGAGCCCAAGCAGCAACCTGCGAGGCTGAAAAATGAAGCCAAGGCAAAAGTATCAGAAACTGCAGTTCCTCTAATGGCCACTTGAGGCTGGCTCCAAGAGTGAGTCAGTCCCCATAGACACCATGTTAAAATGGCCAACTTTAGAGCAGAAATAAACATGTTTACAGCCTGATACAAAAAAGGTGTTGGTCTCTATAGCTTATTCGTCACATTGACGTCACATTGTTTTAACAGTCTATGGTTGAGCCATTGATGCATTTTACAGCTCAGTTTATGCATTTATAAAACTTTTTTTTTTTGTTTTGTTTTGTATGGCATATGTATGCTAAACACCATAATTTTAGGTCATGGTGCCTTACAGAAAGGAAATTTCTTGCTTATTCACAAAAAAGAGACTTCCATGTCTTGGACTGTTGTTACTTCATACAACTTCCTGTTTTAAAGTATACCTCCTATTTTTTATAGTTAGGTTTAAATAACTGGAGAGGCATCAAGGGGAAGAGTAAATGTGCATATGTGTTGTATGTTTGTGTCAGTGTGTGCAGCTGTGAGATGGAGGTTATCAATGAGCAGCACATTGTACAAAGATGAACAAAGATATGCAAACAGCAAGGCATGCATGGTTTTGTTCACAGCCAATATTTTGAGCAACTAAACTTTGTATGTGTTTTGCAAGTGACTAATGGCTACTCATTAGTTTCACGGGACATGGTGGGATGGGTTGGTGTGTGCAGTCACACCCAGACACTGTGTGTGTGTGAATGTAGCAGCTCAGAGCCGCAGCTCTACCTGTAGCCACATGCCTCATCTGCTCTCCTTAAACTTCATCCAGTCTCTTCACTGGCTCTCAGGAATGCAGTTGGCAAATTGTGTGTGTGCACGTGTGTCTCACTGTGTGTATGAGAGGGTGGGAAGGTGTGGATGTGTGATTGGATAGGTGGCTGAATGTGAATGTGCATGCATGTGTCTC